GACGGGGGTACCAAGTGTTCGTGTTGGACTGGGCCACTTTTCTTTCTTGTCTGCTGGCATGTCATGCATCTATCTACTAGGGCCTGTGTCGCTAGTGTGATGCCTGGGGAAAACCATTGTGATTGTATAATCCCATTCATCCCTCCTTTTCCTACATGTGTAGAGCCATGAGCAACATGTGCCAAAACATGGAGGAACGAGCGGGGGCAGACCATTCTGCCATCTGGGTGGAGCCACAAGCGGGACTCTGCGTCAAGTGTACAACTTCTGCGCAGCCATAAGTCTTTCTCCCTAGCATCAGCGCGGGCTTGCATGTCCGCGACATCATTAAAGGAAGGCAAACAAATGGGTTCTGCAGGTTGTGTGGAGGGACATTGGAGCACCATGGAGGAAGAGGAAATGGCCGCTTGTTTAGCCGCGGTGTCGGCTAACGCATTTCCGCGTGCAATAGGATCATCAGAATTTGTGTGAGCAGCACATTTAACTACTGCTAGCTGTGCAGGGAGCAAGATAGCGTCTAACAGTTGAGCCACTAACGCATGATGTTGAATAGGCTTACCAGCCGATGTTAAGAAACCGCGCATTTTCCACAGGACTCCAAAATCGTGGCATACCCCGAAAGCATACCTGGAGTCTGTGAAAATGGTCGCGCGGGGGTTAGTGGAAAGGCGAATAGTTGCTGCTTGAATGTGGATTTTTTGTGTTATTGACCCTATTCCTCCATGGCCTCCCTATTGTTCATTATAGCCACCCTGTGCTGCTGCATACTGCCCCTGCTGTGCCCCCCACCTCTTAGGACATTTCCCTGCCCAGTGCTCAGTGCTCCCGCATACGTGGCAGTGCATTGGTTTTTTTTGGTTTTTGTTTTGCTGCTGCCTGTTCTTGTTTTGATAACCTTGTGACTGTCCTTGGTTCTGATATTGTGGTGTGCTGTTTTGTCCCTGAGTCTGCTGGTAGTTACTCTGACCTTGATAAGCCTGTTTGCTTCCCTGTTGCAGCACCTTTGCCGTTCGGGGAATCAGACAAATCTGGCTTCTGTGTAGGGCCCGCATGGTGGCAATAGTAACTTTCCAGGTTTTCATCTGCCAATCGGGGGTGGCTAACATGTAAGCTTGAGCTGTCTCCGGGATAAGGTTATGCAATAAGCTCTGTACTGCAAACAAATCATTGATCTCTCTTTTAATGCCTGCATTCTTGTCCCACACCGTTATGAATCTCTGGATAAAGTCTGGCACTGTTTCTGTAGGGCTCTGGATGCAAGCCATCACTTGGGAAAAGTCAGTGTGAGTTTTAGCACAAGCTTTGATAGCCCTAGCTCCGTCAGTTTCTAACCACTGAGTGAGGGACTGTGTTACAGGCCAATCTCCTGCGTTTGTGCACACTGGAAATTTAAACTCATCTTTGCATGTTGGCCATTCGGCTTTGTATGTGAGGACGATCAGCTGTTTAACATCATGCACCAAACAGTTATAGACCATACACACATTAGTCAGCCATGACAGATATTCATCTGGGCTCTTAGTGGGGTTGGGCGCGTGTCTTGTGACATCGATAACCTCTGAGGGAGTCCATGGTTTAAATACCGGGACTTCTCCTATCAGGATTTTCGGGGCATTGTGTGTTTCACTGGAGGCTGCGGCTTGTTGTGCTTCCTGCGCTGTATTATGTACCTCTTGCTCTTGCGCAGCCTGTGACGCCTTTCTTGTGATCATTTTTCCCCTGAGTGCCGCTATCTCCTTAGCTGTGAATTGGCGCGGTGTGTGCTCTAAACTGAGCGGAGGAGGAGGGGGAGGAGAAGGAGGAGGGGGAGGAGGAGTAGAAGAAGAAGAAGGGGGAGGGGGGCTTTGCTCTGGAACTGTCCCTGTCTCTGCTGAAGACTGGCCACCTGAATAACCAGAAGCCTCACCTCCGCCCCTGTGATCTGCCATTTCCTGTAAACCTGCGTTTCGCTCTGTGTGTGCGTCATGTATTTCTTGCTCCCTTTCCCTCTTCACTTCTATCTGTCTGATGTTTATGATAGCTGCAACTGCCTCCAACAAGTCGTTATCTGAGTTTCTGGCAATATGATTTATTTCTTTGTCTCTGTGGTGGGGATTACTTTGGGGCAGAGAGTTACAGTGTGCTCCTTGATAATGCTCTGTGTTAGTTGGACCCCTGCGTCTGTCAAGATGCTAATCACTTGGGACGGGAGGGGCTCTTTTCCTTGGCGCCTAACCCAGTCTGACATTATAGCTTTAGCTACGGCCGCTACATCGTTGCCATGTCTCTCTTTTATTCTGGACATGATATCTGCTCTGATGTCAAACGCGGTTTGTAAACTGAGTAAGTGACAACCTGCAACACATTTGGAAACATTATCAAGCAGTCTTCTGAGTTCACTAGAGCCCCATTCACATCCACCTTCACTTTCACTCCTTTTTCCCACAGACATCCACGCTTTCACGCTTTTTTTCATGTACCCTTTGTCCCAAGCTGGGTTAGGATCATCATCAATAATCTGAGAAGCCTGTCGCAGCACACTCATATCAAAAGTGCCTGTGTATGGCCAGTCAAACGGGATTCTCCCTCTCTGGTTGTTCTGTTGTGAAAATTCGCACATCAATGCCGTAAAAGGCATCACATGATTCCAGCCTACAGCTCTGCCGACCATCCCAGACGGCATATTTGGGGAAAACATGTGTGTGTAGTTCTGTTTGTCTGTTGCGAATTTTGGTAGGTGTGATGTTTGTTTATCGTATGTTTGAGTTTTAGTTTTAACCACCGGCTCAGGTGTGGACAGATGATTACCCATGTTTGTGGTTAGTATTTGAAGATCAACACTGCAATTTGGACAAACAAACATGAGCTCACTAATAAACGCCAGGGCGACAGCAAAGCTCTTCAACTCAATATTAGTCCGGTTTTAAGAGAGATCTTAGAGGGGGTGAGGAATTATCTCCGGTGGACGTCTGCTCACGTCTACCCTTGTATACAAGTGATTTATCGGTGCTTGAAAGCCGTCCAAGAGCGATAACTAAGCTTATCCTCTTGTGACAACCACTAGGCTATCTGTTTCTAGTGGCGCTGTGCCCCCCCGATCGGAGCCCACAGACTTTTCCCTGCCCTTTCTCTCCAAACAACAGCTCAGTTGACTGTAGTCCGTACGACCAGCCTATATCTACTCGCCATCGAGTTCACCTCAAGGTGAAACACAGTTTGCCTATGCTTGCTTGCCACTACACACCTCTGATCAATTAGCCTATAATTGTATGTATGCACTCCTGACCGCCACCTGCTCCAGAGAGCCGTAGCGTATCGGGTGATGCACGCACCTCGTGCTGGCCCGTCTAACCATGAGAAAAGCGGTCCTAAACAACGAGTGCTTTTAGACCGTCCCGTTTGAAGGACGGCGGTGCCGTGAGTTAAAACCTAGACAAGAACTGTGATTTTCTTCCTCTCAGCCTGCACTGCTCCAGCCCCACACACACACGGTGAGGTTTTTACACACACACGCAAGGCTGCAGCTGGAGCCGTGTTTCTACAGAGAGGTGATAGCAGTAAATATCTCTGGCTGCTTATTTTCAACTGCTATGTTCGGCCGCTAAGACCCTCAAAATCCGGCGATTTGTCCAGTACAAATCTTTTGCATTGCTTTCTATTCACACAGAAGCTCCACCTCACTGATGCCCTTTCTTTAAGGTCTCTTTAAACATGAGCTGTGCATGCTTGTATGGCACTTCCGTCCCTAATCAGCATACACAGAGGAAGCCAGCCAGGACTGAGTCCCCAGACACTGATTCCCTAGGTTTAACTATCCCCAAATGTTCATTAACCAAAAGGAAACGCAGCCGATCAGTTTCACAGGTAATTTTAGGATACCGTCAATCACAGATTCTGGTAAGGCAATGTCCAAATGTGGATTTGAAATTACACTTACCAGTTCTGAAGATATAGTGGTATCTTGCCGACAACGCCAATTTGTAGAGGAAACTTCTGTGTCGCTATGCAGTGGAGTCACCGACTCAGGAAGGAGACACGGGAAGAGTCGGAGCTTTGATGTCAAACCACTGTGATTTATTTGGAGTTGGTACCAGAGTATTCACATCACAAATCCAAGAGTCAGAGGTTCTGACTCCACGGTAGAGTTGCCACGTCAATTCTGGAGAGCCTCTCTCTTGCCAGTCCATCTAACTGGTTTCGCAGAGAGTAAACAACATATTTGAGGAGATAGCCTAAACAGTGTGGGAACACAGAGCTACTTGCCTCGGACACTTATGACCTCGAAGATTTTACCTTGGAGTCCACAAATACAGAGAAGGAAGTGTCCCAGTGTACCCACAACACAGACCATCTGTATCCCAGTATTGACCGGTCACAGAATGGGAACAATAACATTATTGGCTAAGCCGCCTGTGTCCTTAAAGAAGGTAAACAGACATCGAGGTTTGTCCTGTATGTTACTAATTGGCGTCTTATGATAATTATTTCCACAACAGTGACATTACCACTACTCAACACAACGTGCTGCAACAGAGATGTGGAGATATCACTGTATGTTCTCGTTCTTTTCATTTGTATACTTTATGTCTTTTCCCTCCTCGCTGGGTGACTTTGCTATTTTTTTGTTTGCTTTCTTTATCGTATTCTCGGCCTTGCTGTTATCATAGGGAGGGGAGGCGTGTGGTGCAGTGGGTTGAGCGTTGGTGTTCGGATCAGGGGGTCACAGGTTCAAACCCCACTGCAGTCAGCATGTCGTTGTGTCCCTGAGACACTTCACCCCAAATTGCTCCTGTGGGGATTGCCCACAGTATTAAGTATGTTAGTCGCTTCGGATAAAAGCGTCTAACAAGTGTCATGTAATGTAATCATTATGGTAATACAGGTGTCCTCTTAAGGAGACTTGCTGATGAGATCATTGCAATAGAAGTCATGTCCTTTGCGACTGATTAATATTCATGTTTATGTTGTGTTATCTCTAGTAATCATTTTCCTCTCCCTCCTCCTCCTCTCTCCGCTCTCAGGGCAATGTCACCTTTTCTTGTGCTGAGTCGGTTTCCGTCGCCATGACCTTCCCCGGACCCCAGAGCTTCCTCCAGTTGCCGGGGGCCACGGCGTCGTCGTCAGGGGGCGTGTCCATCGGGTTCCAGTTCAGGACGTGGAACAAGGCGGGGCTTCTGCTGACCTTTGACCTACCTCAGGGAGGGGGCGTGGCCTGGCTCTACCTGAGTGAGGCCAGACTCCGGCTGCAGGTCCATAAAACTGGCAGGGCGCTGCTGGAGCTCAGTGCAGGTACCTTTAAATCTACTTCCAACCGCTAAAAGTGAACTTTATTTATTTGTTTATTCCACACATGGCAGTTATTTTAAAACAAAACATGTACACTTATACTGGTTAATAGCGCATGGTGAAAAGGAGCAGGGAGAAGAAAATGTTATTTTACCTGCCCCTTCTTCAAAAAAAGTAAAATAAAAGCAATATTCTTTCAGTCACAGTTAGTTGGTTAATCTTACCTGGTTACTGATATATAACGATGTCAACCTGTATGTTAGAGAGACAAGTAAGCCACTGTACTCACATGTCAACTTGTATGTTAGAGCAGGGATTCTCAAACCTTTTTCAATAATGTTCCCCCTTTGAAAAAAAAATTGAGCCAAGTACCCCCTGATCAGCGCAAAAACAATTTGTTTGGGAAAAAAAGCCTATATAAAGAGGTACAGTACCGCCTTGCGCCATCAGTGTCTGATTTATTAAAACAACAACCTTGTAACTGAGAAACACTTAAATGCTACTTTCAAATGTTTACAATCCATCACTAAATTCATGGCCAACCAATTTTAACATCATGCAATAACACTAAGACGACATTAGTTACATTTAACTGATATTTTTAATAAGTTGTACTTACAATTTAGTGAGAAACATGGACTTGTGCTTCACTGAGGATCTTTATCATTCTGACAGGGAGGCAACTGCAGTTATTACACTTCGTGTTTTGAAATATGTGTAACTCTAGTCTATGAATATAAAACCCACACTGCTCAAACTTCGTTACTTTTCCTAAAATTGGTATATTTATCTATTTTTTTTTCTTTTCTTTTTTCATTAACATAAAATAAATCTCACGTACCCCCTGCAGTACTCCAACGTACCCCTAGGGGTCCGCGTACCCCCATTTGAGAACCACTGTGTTAGAGAGACAAGTAAACCACTGTACTCACATGACAACCTGTTCACAAACCTTTCCTGTATGGCCATCAGATTTTTCCATCACAATTGTCCGTAACAATTGACAGATCTGTTTTACAAATACATCTTGTGGTTTTGGAAGTTGATAACAGAAGGTGATTTTTTTATTTATACCATTCTCACCAGAGCCACATGCCTGGCCAACAGCTTCTATGATCCACTGGGTTTGAAGCAACTGCTCTTTTTGTTGCTCATTGTCTAGTGAAATGCAACTCTGCTTTTACCTCTCTCGTAGTCTCGAACCAAATGCATGAATCGATTTAATAATACAGTAGATCTACCAGGAGTGGGGTTCGAACCCACGAGAGCTATTGCCCATTGGATCTTAAGTCCAACGCCTTAACCACTCGGCCATCCTGGTTGCTTTTGTGAGGTAATTTAGTAAAAATCAACCCCTCTTGGAATTGATTGATGCATGGATTAATTGGATACAACAGATGGAGACTTTAGCAGAGCAAAGCAAAATCAGTTCAATTCAAATTAATCAATTAAATATAATGTAGGACGTGAAAAGTCAAAATCTCATGCATGCAAAAGGTCAATTATAACCGTTTCTCCAATACATTGGTTTTAAAGTTCGAACAAACAAGCACATAGTTCTCTAACACAGTCTCTTAAAGTTGCATTTTGTTCAAAAGGTCAATTTGTACTTTGTGATGTACTGTTTTATTCTCATTGCCAAATCCCTCTGCAGCCGATCGCACTGTACGATGACTGTGGTGTGTTCTTGTGCAGAGTATTGCCAGTAAGAAAAGTAGAGGAGATAATGAGATATTGATTAATTCCCTCAACTCCTGACAACAGAGCGATTCACAGGAGAGCAACAGCCTGCTGGTACTTGGTGGCAGATCGATCACACAGAAGATGCAGGAAGTAGATACCTTTGTGGTCTGCACTCAATCTGCCCACCTCCCCCATGTTTTTTTCAATACATTTGTACTAAGTCTAGCATCTGGCAACATCTGCTGCAGAGTCTAACCCCCTAATCCCACCAGGAGCGTCTGCGCTGCGTTGCGCTGCGGCGTTTTTAGCGATCGCGGCCACTCTAGTCAATGGGTGCTATTCCACCAGACACGCTGCGCCGCGCTGCGCCGCGGCTCGAAGCGTCCCAGAAGCTCCTCGCCGCTAGGAATTTCTAAAATATAGGATGAATCCTATTTTTGACGTGGCGCAGCGCGGTGCAGGCAGGAAGTGGAATGTTCATCCAACAACTGCGAGGCTGCACACACCACGCTCCGCTTCCGCAACGTTTTGAAACGCGCCTGGTGGGTTAGGACGCAGGAGGAGGTCGCAGCGCGGCACAGCCGCAGCGCAGACGCTTCCAGTGGGATCAGGGGGTAAGGGGTGTCCAAACTACGGCCCTGCGGCCAAATGCGGCCCGCGTGCCATTTTGAATCGGCCCTCAGCAAATAAAAAAAGTATAATAGAATATGGACCACAGATGAAACTTTTTAATGTCTTATATTGTACTTCTTAAATATATATGTTCAAATATGTTACACAGTCGTATTCATGTGTTAATAGGACCACTTTTCAAATAAATTCATTTAATAAAGTTGGAAAACATTTCTAACATATCTTAGTTGATAAGAAAAGGCCAATGACTCACAGTATTTTCAGAACAAGCTTGAAATACACCCTTCCTATTTCTCCTTATTATAATCAATCTGAGGCTTCTGTTTTAAGGAAGGAGCTGCCTACACTCACCTCACCACTCAGTATACCTCACCTCTAGTGAGTGGCCCAGCCCTTCGTATATTTTTCTGTATGTGGCCCTCTGTGAAAAAGGTTAGGACACCGCTGGTCTAAATGGAACCATGTACATATGAAGGGGAAAAAGTCACATTTTTAGCAGGGTGTGTGTTAATTGGTATTTGTTTTGTAGGTTCTGCTCTGAATGACGGTCAGTGGCATTCGGTGGATCTGAACTCCAGACGAGGTCGTCTGAGCATCATCGTGGATAAAGAGGAAGGAGGCAGCGCTCACGCCACTCATTCATTTCCTGTCACTGTAGAAAGTCACCTCTTCTTTGGTGGTAAGATGCAATTTCAACCTGTCCAACATCAAACAGCTCTGTGGGAGTTTAAGATGTTAAAAAATAGTTAAGAAAAGTAAATTGTGATTTTTTTTTACAGAGGTGTTCCCCAGAAAACTACATTTTTAACTATCATGCAGTTTTTTGATTTTGGCAGCTAGATACAAATTATACTCACAGGTCACATTGTAATCAAGTAATATATGTTTTATCTACATTTTTTTTAATATTCGGGATTGTGGGAAAAGGTATTTCGATCTCTCTGTCTGTCACACAAACTGGAAGATTGACAATAAAGTTGACTTTGATATATCTTTGTGTCGCCTCTGAAAACACGTTTTATTTGACAGAATTGTTTATGTTTGGAGAATGACGGTCTTTTGTAAGAGCTCTTTTTTTCTTTTTAGGTTGTCCTCCTGAAAACGATAGGCAGGAGTGCAGAAACCCCTTCAATATCTTCCAGGGCTGCATGCGTCTCTTAACTTTGGACGACCAAATCGTGGATCTGATCATGGTGCAGAAAAAGCAGCTGGGAATCTACAGCAACCTGCAGATAGATATGTGTGGAATCATTGACAGGTTAGTTTCCCAAAATATGTTCATTAATATCTGTTAACCTGGAAAAACGCATCATCTGCAGGAAACAGCGTCTGAGGGCTTCTTAATAGTTAATAAACTATGAATGTTTCATATCCATGTAACGGGAAGAAACTCAGCTGATGATATGAACCATTTTTAGCAACAAAAAAACCACAAGGCTAACGCTGAGCCTCTGAATTAGCCCTGAGCGAAATGCTAACGCCGTTAGCACAGAAAACACGGTATAACACCCTTAGTACTTATCTGCACATCCAACATATCGATTAGCATAGTGAGAATACACAGAATCGATAGGTATCTATATCATCACTCCATGATCAGAACTCGCAACATTATAAACAAAAACAGAAATCACAACATGTGGCATTAGGTAACAAACACGTCAATATGTCTTACCTTTGTCGTTGTCGGATCAAAGGTTGTCTTCAATGGCATTAAAACGATCAAAACGATGCTGAAGGTTAATAGGTTAATCCAATGTGTCTGTGTCACTTTGAAATGATTTCTGATAATGCATCAGCAATAAAACTAGTTTTCAGTTTTTAGATTTCAAAGCGTAAGACAGCTTTCGTTTTGGGCAAACTGCATGCGCATAGCCCCCACTACTCAATTGTAACGTTGGTGTGTATGTGGAAATTCCCCTTCGAGTATATTGGCTCTAACGGTTAAAAAGAGATGTCAATCATCAAAATCGACCAATGGGTTCCAGAGAAACGGCAAAAACGCCCATTTCCACCCAAATGACCTCAGAGGTGGAGTTTTTTTTGCTAAACCTCTCTAAAAAGGTCAAATGTCACTTGTGTTTTATCAATCTTGAAACAGGGTACTTATTATATGTTGTACTTTGGATTCCTAAAGCTTTTAGTCTACCATCTATCATTCAAGGGTGGTTTTCACTATAAGTAAATAATTATTTTTGGACAGACACTATCATTTACAGTTTTTTACTATGTTCAATCTGAATTTTCTTTAAAATAAAAAACATCTATATTGATTCTGACTTTTCTACATCCAACTCACAGGTTTATCATTACTTTGAGAAAAAAGATTATTAATGTTCTTTTAGAAGTGTAGTTAAGGTCATTTGTTCTGGAAATGTAATTTTGGAGCCTGAGACCTGAAAAACAAGCTTGGGGGTTAACAGGTTAAAGGTCCCATGTCATGGCCATTTCTACTGATCATAATTCCATTGTTGAGATCTACTAGAATAGATTTATATATTTATCATCCAAACTCACATGGGTTTCTCACAGCATCTCTGTATAGTATGTGTATTCACTCTCTGTCCTAAACGGCTTGTTGGAGCTCCTGCCCCCCCCCTCCCTGTGAGCCGACTGTGCTCTGATTGGTCAGCTTGCCCACTCTGTTTTGATGAGTCCACCACCGTTACAGCTGAACATCAGTGATTATGTTTTACAATGGCGTTTGTTAGCAACCAGAAAATGACACAAGTAATAACAAACAGATGAGAATGCTGCGTGGGGTCTGGGTGCCGTGTTGGTGGGACGTTGCGGGGCTCGCTGCTGCAGCGGACAGTGTGAGCTGGCTTACTGGTGTCGTTTCCTGGTTGCTGCGGGGGATCTGCGAGACAGCGAGACAGGGCGAATATGTGGTTTAAATCATTCATTTGTAGATGAAATCATGTTATTATCTGGCTTTTCATGACTATCAAAGGACAGACCTTTCCTATTAAGGACCACCAGGGAATTAAGTTAAAATCCAACTGTTGTGGCCATTATGAAATCTGCTTAATTAATAATTAATATACCAGGAGTGGGGTTCGAACCCACGAGGGCTGACGCCCATTGGATCTTAAGTCCAACGCCTTAACCACTCGGCCATCCTGGTTCTTTTTTTTGTCATATATGATGTATTTTGTCTAATTGTTGGGGTATTATTAGCTCATGCAAACACTCCATTAACAGCACCACTTTAATGGACTAACACACAAGGAGCCTCGCAATTGCACTCGAGAAGTAATTACTGTACCAGCAGTGGGATTTGAACCCTCCTAATTACATCTTGGTGTTTTTAAACCAAATGCCTCAATTCATGTCAGCGGGCTTGTCAAGAGTATCAAAGGACAGACTTTTCCTGTAGAAATACCACCAGTGAATTAAGCTAATTTGCTTATCTACTACCTCTGATGTTGCCATTATGAAATGTGTTCTAATTAATTTCCAGCATCACTTCAATAATACATTACATTTACCACGAGTGGGGTTCGAATCCACGAGGGCTGATGCCCATTGGATCTTAAGTCCAACTCCTTAACCACTGGGCCATCCTGGTGACTTATTTTGCCTATCGTCTTCATTTGAACTTGACCAATCACAGCAGCTAACGCGAAAAATAAAGACTTTATTTAACTTTAAAGCATGTAACATTCACAGTAGAGGAACAAAACAAATGAACAGAATATTTCACAACTGTGATCACACGTGTCCTAACAGTAGGTTGATTTGACTCAAAGCCTCGAAGCAATCAGTTACATGAAATGCAGAGGAAGGTCAAAGGTACATTTAGGATAATAAGAGCAGCATATTTGACTAAACATTGTTAATCTCAATGATGATAAATTATAATATGAATATATGTCTCATCAGTGAGAATATAAGACTGCAGAGATAGCTCCAACATGAGGAGCAGAAAAAGAGAGAGATGAGGGAGGGAGTGTAGAACAAATCGGTTTTCTGTTTGGGTGACATGCCAAATAGCAGCACAATTATGAGACAATTACAGCAATTATAAACCCTTCCCTCGGGTGCAACACACACACACACACACACACACACACACACACACACACACACACACACACACACACACACACACACACACACACACACACACACACAAAAGGCCTGTTTTCCAGTAAAAAGAGAAAGAAAATGATCCTTATGCTCTCTCGCTGAAATACCACTCAGATATATTGCACTGTAAAATCAGTTGGCAAATGGACTCACTGCCATTCTTCAGAACAGCTTATTACTCTGCAAGGATGTGTATGTGTGTGCTCTGTTATTGTTGCCAGCAGCAAAGGCTGTTATTAGCTAATGCAAACACTCCATTAACATCACAACGAGAGTTCAAACACACAAGGAGCCTCACAATTACACTCGACAAGTCATTACCAGGAGTGGGATGAATCCATTCTGGTGTGACAAACTTCTCCTGTAGAAATACCACAAGGGAATTAAGCTAATTTGCTGATAATTTCCTTAAGAGATCGAACTAGTGTTGCTTATCTACTACCTCTGCTGCCATTATGCAATCTGCCCTAATTAATTTGAATAATACTTTAATTTACCAGGAGTGGGGTTCGAACCCACGAGGGCTGATGCCCATTGGATCTTAAGTCCAACGCCTTAACCACTCGGCCATCCTGGTTACTTCTGTTATCTTTTATAGTCAAAATCTTCTGTGGTTTTCCCTTTCGTGTCGTGCGTTATATATGTTTTTGGGCATGGTAATTGTCTGCAGAGTTTCTCTCCCACACACTCCCCCTCCTGCCTGAAACGTCTCCTTTGTTTACTTCCAGAACATAGTGACATCACTACGTAACACTTGCGTTTCTACTGGCTAGTGCTCCAACACATTGTACGTGATTGGCTAAGGGGGCATGAAATCTTTAAGCGGTTGAACAATCACAACAGAGCCGGCCAGCTAACCAATCAGAGCAGACTCTGGTTTCAGACAGAGGGTGAACAGAGGTGCTGCAGCACAGGCAGTATGAGAAAAATATATTTTGACTTTCGACTATGCATGTTGATGAAGATGGGAACGGGGTTCTCTTGGAGTTTTTTATTGTAATTAAGTGGCATAGTTATTTTTTGTGCTGTCAATACATTTCTGAAATGAAATCTTTAATGGATGTGTGGTTTAAAATGAGCTATTTGAAGTCTGAAAGAGTTCTTCTATGTATAACTCGGAGAAACTAGTTTTCAGACGCTTTCAATATTGTGTTCTCTTGATATATGTTTGGGGTGGCAGTGTGTAATTGTGCCTGGAATATGTGTTGATTGGGAAAAAGGGTTGGAGGGGGATTTTATTTATCGTATTATCGTATGTGGGGTATGATGTTGTAACTGGTGCTTCCCCTTTACTTATTTTTCTTAAAAATACCATTTATTTATCATTACAATCATCTTCATTATCATGGCTCAATAAAAAAATGAATTCCACCACAAAATCTATATTAACAAATAGATGTCACTAGTTACTAGCACACTAAAAGTCAACATAACGAATCAGACAGCAGCAGGCAGCCGTAGCTTTGGTTAAAATTAATGTGAATTTAATGTGAATACTAAATAGCTCACTTTAGACCACAGCGCTGTGGAGATAAATGGAGGTAAAAATCACACACCAGCAGGCTGACAGGCTGCTGACACAGGGCTTTTATCTAAATAAAAGAGTCGGCCTCGCAGAAAGCAACACAATGTACACTAAAGCTAAAAGTGAGGAATAATTAAATGCGATTAGAGCAACGTTTTTATTATTATTACAGTACCTGTGTTCAGGTTGAGTTCAGGTTATTGATTTGGTTTACATTAAAAAGACAAGGTATCTACTGTTACCCAAGTTTCAAACAACACTTAGGGAACTTTGGGATTTTAGCCTTTGCAGACCATTTACATGCACAAACCTATAACTCCCTACAGGGAAGGGAAAACCACCACAAATAATAATAAAGAAGGTCCCGGTAACATTGGACTGTGTACTTTTGGGGAGTTGTTTGTCAATCAAAAACAAAAAAACGACTGTCACCCTGATACAGTTATTTTGACCGCTAGACAAGATTTTCCCCAAACTTGATAATGTAAAGATGGCTGTGCACAATTAACAGCGTTTATTCATTCAAAAGGACTGACTTATTTGTATCCCTGTCAGAAGGGTTGGCGATGGTTCGGCTGAACTGTCTTTCCTGTCACCATCTAAACTAAATGTTTCAGAGAAATGTTTTCAAAACCTCCCACAACATGTCGCCTAAATGTAAAATATGACCTCTTACAAATACTAAAGCTGAAACGTATTCTCTTTCTAATATTTACAATATTCCTGACCCTCCTACACACATCAAGCCATGAAAGAAATAGGCTCGAGTAAACATAATTTGAATTGCTTTCTGACCATTAAATGAAAAGCCTTATGTAATGTTTTAATGTATTTCAAGCACACTTGGTTTTTGTGAGGAAAGTGAGAGTTTGAAGGCACTTCTTTGACAATCATCGCAACCTATTATCATATTGTTTCATGTCCACAAACACAATACGCCTGCTGACTCGTTCAGAGATGAATGACTCACAAAAACACAAGGGACCCTTCAGCAGCTTTTTCAAACAAAGTGTATTTCTCTTGACAATAATGGATGAAAGGTGTTTTTTGGCATCGGCTGCTTTTGTCCTCCTGAAAGGTTTTGGGCAGTAAAGTCGGCAGATATGTTCAAGGTGCCAACACAAGAACATAGATTGTTCAGCTGCTGTCTCAGTATATATAAAAGAATAGATCATTAAAAAGTTTTTCTCTGTCTTGACAAGGCAGATAAATCCTTCAAGTGTCTGTCAGGATTTAACTAGGGACTGAAACTGTTGGATACACTTTGCAGTCTCTCTCTCTCAAATTCATAAAGCTCTATTGGCATGCACACAATGCCATGTTGCCAAAGCATTGTACAATTACAATAAACCATTATACATATACATACAATTGGAATACGTTGATGTGTTCACATACATTTTGAACAAAGCAGAATAGCAGAATAAGATACTTATTTTGAACGTGAACCAATAAATTCATCTAAAACAAGCTCCTCTAACCCCTCGTTCCTTCACTTATTGATTATTCTGCAGGATGTTTCTGATAATATGTAAGGATATGTGCAAGGACGTGGTCATAATGGAAAAAGAACACAGAGAGGGTGTTCATGGAGCCCAATAAGCTAATTTACAAACGTCTCTTTCCCAATGTAAGTCGATGGGAAAAAGTATTTGTGGACTCAAATTACATCACAAACTACAACAGAAGTGTAGTACCATCGTTTGACCACGCAAATGTCCTTTCACTTCCTTACCTAGACCCTCGGTCCTCCACACTTTTGGCCTAATTGCTCCTCTTTTGGCAGCCACGCTTTCTTTTACCTGTTTCTATGGTCAGGCTATGAGCACTCAGTCTGTTATTTGTGAACATCTCTTTCTCTGCGTCCCTCTCTCTCAGGTGTTCTCCCAGTCGGTGTGAACATGGCGGCCGCTGCAGTCAGTCCTGGACCGCCTTCCACTGTAACTGCTCTGACAGCGGCTACAGCGGAGCCATTTGCCACAGCCGTGAGTCAAACAGCAGCACATACAGTAACCACTGGGAAGCAGAGCCAGATTAAAACCTACGATAGGACACGATAGGACACGATAGGACACGATAGGACACGATAGGACACGATAGGATACTATAGGACACGATAGGACACAAGAGGACATAATAGGACACTATATGACACGATAGGACACGATAGGACACGATAGGACACGATAGGATACGATAGGATACGATAGGACATGATACGATATGGCTGCCACAGGTGGAGATGGTTCTGGCTGCAGTTCTGGATGCAGCCTTATTGTTGTTGGTTCAGCTCTGGTTCTCTGTCTGTTCGATGGAGAAGAAGCAGTCTCCTGCTTGGGTTAGGTCTTTGTTTGCTCAGGCGGGTCAGGGTTTTAGCCGTCTGATGCAGAGGAACAGTCCAGGTTTCGGGACACATTACTAGAAATTCTAGCACACTGAGGTTGAATAAATCCAACCCTTTCCACACTGTCTGTTTCTAATCATACTATCTGTCTTGGTTTTTAAATGCCATCTAAACAACAACATGAATGTCTCCGAATGATATTACAAGAACTCCTTCTAAAACTTATTTCAACCATTGTAACATATTTATCCACAATAACTCTTTCAGGAAACCATTTTCTCCTATAAATTGAAATACACACATGTTACAAGCACCATATCTTGCACACACTACAAAAAGAACGTGCCCATATATTCCCCGTTTAAATCCCACTGCTACTTAGAACATCAGTAAAAACCAGCAGAGCATACTAACAGATCACATACATGTAAATTGACTCAAGAGTAGGCCTATGTTTATACTTTTTATTATAATTATTAATATTATCACTTTTAGTGAACACTTATTCGTATTATCTAAATGCCCTGAACATAATCCAGACATGCAAATTGTTTGAGTGTAAAAATGTGTTTTTCCCTATCTGTTTACACTCTAAAGATTCTTGATTAATTACTAATCCCTTTGTACTTTTGATAAAAATGATTTATGTAAAATGCAGAGGTTGCGCTAGACTTTTTCGCTGCCCGTCATTTTGACGGACAGGATCGTAAAACTTCTGTCAAAATCCAGAATAACCCGTCGGCCTTTACACAACTCTGACGGGGGGGGGGGGGAAGCATGCTCGTGAACTGTCAACGGGGGGGGGGACAGTTCACATGCGCCGTGTTATGCATGGCTGCTGCACCTCGCGGGAGCGTGCACAGCGTAAAGCCAAAACAGACATTTCAATGATTTGTACGGCACAGTTAGGTTTGGAAACGGTATGATTTCCTTTTTGGAGGGCATGCATAACACGGCATAACACCGGAGCCTCGCTGCGGGGAAACTTTGGCGCTGTTCCGAGTTTGTGCTAATCTGTCAAAATGACGGACTGATTTCAGATTTGTCCGTCATTGTTAAAAAAAATCCGTCATAGACGGAAAATATTCGGTTAACGCGACCTCTGGTGTAATGTTTTAAATATACAAATATGTGCTAAATGTAATAGTTCTAAATTTGAACAGTAGTGTGTGGTTTTAGTTCGGACTGAAATGTATTATATATAATGTATATAATAATATACAATACGTCCACCAGTGTGCACTATTATATTTCTAACTTTTGTCCACTAGGGGCGCTATATTTAATTTGTAGATGTAATACCAAAGAGGTACACTGGGGGAGTTCTATTTAAGAATGAATGCAATGTATCGTATCTGCCACAGTGTTGAGTGGGTTTTGACTTTACTTGTATTACTGGCTCTGTCCACCAGGTCTACAAATATTTCATTTTGCTCTTATTTGGTGCACCACCTTCCCTTGGCCACCAGATGTACTTTTGCCTACTTCCTCATTATTTTCGTATCTGTTACTTCTCCCTTGTTCCTCTTTCCTTATTATATACTTCTCCTTTGGTATTTCTACACTTGTAATTCCATTTAACAACACACTTTTCCAGTTTTCATTCTGTATTTTTTTGGGGGGTTTTCTCCATTGAGCTAGTATGTTTGTTTTGTATGTTTTTTTTTTATGGCGCCTGTGTGAGTGAAAAGGTGGGAGTTCCTCGGAGGGGGATCAACCGCCAGGCTTGGATTTTCGTTATTTTAGGGGCAAGGCCATTTGGCCTTTGGTGTCACACATTTTTTCAGGGCGCAAAGGCCACATGCTAGGGCACAAAGGCCATTGAGGGAAACATTTAGATTTGGAGCTTAAAAATAAATAACTTCACTTTCTGATAAGAAAAACACACGAATGACATGGAAAACAAATCACTTTTTTAATATCAATAATGTCAAACACTATATCATCATATAGGCCTATGCCTCCTTAGTATTACTGTATATACAATGAAATACTCTACTTTGAATAATTAGTGTTTGGTATTTTTTTCCATCTACAACTTCTCCCATTCACAAATCCGAAATCAAATCAAATAATATAAAATTCTATTAATATGAAACAAATATATTCCATTTCAGAGCAGAAGAAACAGCCTTCAAGGGTCAAACTCTGCACATACATCATTCAGCAGTGTACTTTGAAATGCAAAAGCGTGTGTGTGTGTGTGTGTGTGTGTGTGTGTCTCTTTAATCAACTCCTCACAGCTCCTCATATCTGTTCAGAAACTAGACAAAAGTTAAACATGTACAAACCACAGACTGTCTGTGTCATGGTGAATACAGTCGCTGCTTTAATTCTGTCTTTAGGACGTTGTTGTGAGTTTGGACGGAGCAGATACAGGTTAGTTTAGCCTGATCTGATCGAATGGAGATCGCTCCAGAGTCCATTCAGAGAACACACATTTTAAAAGTTTTTGGCCTGCCTTCCGTCTTGTCTGCACACTTGTCAAAGCATGGTTTTCACTAACCGTTATCAGTATTTAGTTACTTCGGCATCATTTTGAAACGTCTATTACAATTAAATCACGGTAAAATAGGTTAATTTTGTCGTAGTTGGTTCCACCACAGCATGGATATAAGCCCCGCCCCCTATCCAGCGCGTCCTGTTTGAATGAGAGGAGTAAACAGCTGACAGCCGCGGTGAAACTCCAATGGTTAGAGCGATGAGAATATTCGCATCGCGTCCATTGTGAACGCAGCATAACGCAGTTCAGAAACCACTGTTCTGACGCTTTTAAAGCAACTTCAAGATTTTAACAGGCCATGGTGGCCGTAGGACGTACAATTATTTCCGGGGCTTCACGGCCAGACCGAGGGGCCATGACGGCATGGCCGGTGAAAATCCTACCCTGTCAACCGCTCCTTTCTGTTTGTGCCTTGCAGATAAATCACGTCAGGGTCACCAATTTGTTGTGTTTCAGAATTCCTCTGCAAAAGCAAGGAGTCGGACCAGGCAATAAAGTTATAATAAATCTGATTTATTTCAGTTGTGATAAGGAATACAAATGCTCAGCTGAAGTTTCTGGAGATCAGTGATCCACAGACCGCGAGCAGTTTCCACTCCAAGCAGTTAACTGTCTCACACTTCCTTCCAGAGCCCCGGAAACTGTCAAAACACATTTCATATACTTATTACAGATAAAAGGTGTCATATTCTGATGGATATGTGTATTTCTGAGTGAGGTTCTGTCGATTGTTGATTGGAGTACAGGCGAGCCCACGCCTCTTGGCTTCGTCCAGGTCCGACAGGTCCAGTCTTCTTCCCAAGGTCATCCAGGCCCTACACTATACTGACTGTCTGTGCTAAGCTCTGATCTGCTGGGTGCCTGGCACGGTGCCCTCTCCTGAACCTCAGCGAATAACTCACAATAGTGCACTATCTAAATAAAGTAGCAGAAATGCAGTTCCTTCCTTATGTTGTGCTCACCATTAACACTGTCATGAAGCTCACTTCATAGTTTAAGACCTTCTGGTAGCATATTATTCATACACATTTCTTTATGAGCAAGCAACACACATGACTTACAATACATGTACACAGTTTGCACATACACCTACACACAGACAACATACTGACAATGACGCCTTATTGCATAAACCCCAAGGCCAACGTTTAAACTATACGTTACTTTTGTTTGTTGAGAAGATTAATGGACATTGGTAGGAGTGTTTGTAACCGTTTAGCCTGCTTTTAGGGACCCTAAAGTAAGAGACATGAGAGCACTGTCAGCCACCAACTCTCCCTCCCTCTCTCTCTATTAATCCCTTAAATGGTTTCAGTATCCTGGGGGATTCACTCATTTGACAGGCTGTGTCCATGTGTTGATGTTGACGTGATTCATTTTGACGTGATCTCATTATTTTCCTCCAGCTCTGTACGAACAGTCCTGCGAGGCGTACAAACACAACGGCAACACGTCGGGACATTTTTACATCGACGTGGATGGCAGCGGACCAATCAAACCGCAACTGGTGTACTGCAACATGACAGGTGACACACACAAACACACACACACACACACACACACACACACACACACACACACACACACACACACACACACACACACACACACACACACACACACACACACACACACAAGCATACAGACATATACTCCACCTCTTCTCACATCATCACTCGATTTTTTTATGATTACAATTTACATAATTGTAAATGATGATGCTCCACTCATCCCCCTCTGATCCACTTCCATCCTTATTGTCTCCAAGCTTCTCTCTCTTTCCCTCCTTTAATCTCTGTCCCACATTCATCTCCCTGTCTCTTTAAGTCGTGATGCTTTACACATTTGGTATCATGATGATAGAGAACATTGTCAGTGCTCTGAATTATGTCCTTTTTGAGAGTTAAAGCAAAAGCTCAAATACTTTTGACCATCTAGTGTAATATTCTTCTTAACAGCGGTTGTGTTTTCTTTTGTCCACAGAGGAGAACACATGGATGGTGATCCAGCACAACAACAGCGAGCTGACCAGAGTGCGACCGTCTCCAGAGGTAAACCAGCACTCAGTTAACTTTGACTACTCCACTGAAGAGGAGCAGCTATTGGCCGCCATCAGCCAATCAGAGTACTGCGAACAGGAACTGTCCTACCACTGCAGGAAGTCCCGCCTCCTCAACACTCCAGGTAAGGGGCTGTTTCTTTAGCTGACCCTAACATCCTGAATCAGATTTTCCTCACTTTTTCTAAGGGACCTGGCGTTTTTAACTCTGTTGATGTGGAGTGATGAATACTAAGAGCCTTTCTCCATTTACCTTCAGTGGGAAAATAAGGAGCCGTAACTCAGACTAAACAAGCCCAATATAAATGATCATTGTTGAAGGTCTTTTCCTTTAGGATTTGATTTACTGAGTCTGTAATCACCGAACCGCATGGATATTTGTTTAACATCTCTTCTTTGCTGTCTTTCTCATTTTATCAAAGTGAGTTATGAGGTGTTTTGTACAAACAAAATCTCTGGAGAAAACAATCTAACTCCCTGGGGCCTCACACATCTTTCCCGCTCTCCTAAACAAAAAAAAGTATTCTTATGTTCGTTGCTGGATACGTAATCAGGTTCCTAGAATTGTCTTTCTTTTCACCAATGAGCCAGATAAATGGGTTTTGTATGAGTAGTTGAAATGTCTCCTCCTTTTAAATTGAGGTGAATTAAGTTCTCTGTGTCTCCATCAAGTTTACAAGTCATTAATTGACCATTATGCATGAAGAACAATGTTTACTTGTGGAAAACACTGCCATTAATTCAAATTAAAATGGATGGATGGAGGGTGTGTTTTACCTCCTTGGCATTTGATACTCTTAGAGTGGCTTATAATAAAATGTAATTCTTTAAAAAGCTTTATAGCAATCCTGTTTTGCAGGAAAGAAGTTAGAAAATAGATGATAGAAAATGAATGAAGTGGGAGTTATTTGGAAAGTGGTAATTCATTGACATCTGCTTACCTTTACTCGCAATGTTTTCTACATTATATTAATGATGCTGACAAAACACAAAACAATAGCAGACCTCACAGCCTCACAAGTGTTATGTATTCTTTGATAGTTAGTTTTATACGTGCTGTTTCAGTATGTGATTGTATTTGGTATATTGTGTTTAAATGAAAGACTCACCGAGCCAAAAATGGATAAATAGTTATTTGCTAGATTAAAACATTTGTAAACCTTTATTTCTCCTGTAGGGTATATGCATTTGTGTAAACTTAATAAATAATAATAATGATATGAAGAACAGAATAATAATAAGCTAAATGCACCTCAATCATCGAAAGTAAAAGTACTCGTTATGCAGAATTGACCTCTTACAATATTATTTTATTACTGTTATCATATTGTCCTATTTTTCAACATGTAAGAGCATTTTAGTTCTGCAGCGGATGTGTGGACTCAATATTTGAAATACTACAGTAAGGTATTATACCATATCAGCATGTCATGTGTTTTTATATGTACAAAGTAACTGTGAGTGTTAAAATAAATATAATGGAGTAAAAAAGTACAACATGCATCTCTAAAGCATGAGAAGTAGACGAAGTAGCTTTAAATAGAAGTACAAATATGTCAAATAGAACTTGAGTAAAATACTTGAGTACTTTTCACCACTGTGTGTGTGTGTTTCAGAGGGCTCTCCGTTCAGCTGGTGGCTCGGGGGTCCCGCTCCCGGTCGTGTCCAGTCTTATTGGGGGGGGGGCTCAGCCGGGTAGCCAGCAGTGTGTGTGCGGGCTGCAGGGAGACTGTGTGGATCCTCAGCACTACTGCAACTGTGACGCTGACCGCACCGAGTGGTACTGAGACACAGCAATACTTACAGACGTGGTTATTAATACTGAAATGTTCCCCCTCTCTATAATGCCTCACCTTGGGTTTGTTTCATCCTCTCCTTATTATCTCTCCTTATTGTTCTACCCTTTGCCTTCTGATCTCAATACAATACAAAGGGGCTTTATTGGCATGACCACATTTTAAACATAGTATTGCCAAAGCATTCCGCACAAGGCGTTATAACAGAACAAAACTAAAATCAACACTACACATAAATGTTAACAATACATGTGGCAAAACACTCAAATGCACACTCAGAATAAGTAATAATCTCTCTCCCTCCTCATTGTCATTTTCCTTCCCACTCCTCCCCTTCTATTTATTCCTCTTCTTTATCTACCCCATCTTCTTCCTTCTCCTTTGTGTCTTCCTCCTCCTCCTCCCTCCTCCTCCTCCTCAACACTACTGTAATTGTGACGCCGGCCGCACCGAGTGGTACTGAAACACATTGTATCGTGAAAAGGCTTGTCCTGGATATCTATAATCATCACATTGTATTTATATAGCCCAGTTTTACGTATTACACATTTGTCTCAGGGGGCTTTCAGCATACGACACCCTCTGTCCTTAGACGGTTGCAAATAAACATTGCAAAATAAATCCCATAATTAATGGGAAAAAATTGTAAATAACTCAGAAAGAACGACATTGATTGATATAAACGTACTGCTTTATCAAATAGTAAAGTATATATTAATGCAGTCGTTGACGTTAAATCTGTGGTGGTATCATTTCCCTAATGTTCTGCTTAGATGCTGGGACAACATGATGATTACTAACTTGTAAAACAATGGACAGCTTAGTGAATCAATGTGTTCATTAAACCAGCCTTTTCCACAAATTAATAAAAAAAGATTTTACCTTTAGTTTGATATTACTTTGTTGTTCCTTGCTGGTGTCTTTGTATTAAAAAGCTGTTGAAAATAGATACATCGTTTTTAAATTTGAGATAAGATGACATTTAAATCAGGAAAAATGACTTCATTTTATTAGTTGTATGAAACGTAATGAAACTAGCTGGAAACGCATAGACGGACACATTTAGGGTTTTTAAATGTCATTGCATGATTCCATATTTTCTGCTCATGCTAACTTTCTGCTTAATATAGGAAAATACATTTCTGATTGTACTCCTACTGTTGATTTATTTGTATTGAATAGTAAACATGAGTGCTAAAAGCGTCTGCAGGTTTACAGTCATCCACATTCTGCAGGGAAGCAAACAATAAATCGACTGGGATCATTTGAGCAGAGCACAATCAAAACAACTTTTAACCTCTCCTCATGTGATCTTGGCTTTTTGCTCACATATCATTTCCCAGCACAAACAGTTTAAATCTATTTTTACAGAGCCGATCGGCTGCTCTTTAATATTTCATCGCATTGAGCTGTAAACTCTCCTCGCTTCCAGCCCTGCGTGTATTTTTATACAAAACTTTTCTCAGCAACAAGGCAAGCGGTGTGTGAACCTGCGTGTGGGTGTAAATGGACGGAAGGTGTCTTGTTTTTGGAGTAGCTGTTCCAGAAAATGCAGAGGATTGAATGTCAGGAAGGCTATTATTATGTTTTCACACAGCAATGTTTACAGCAGCCAGTAAAACATGCAATCATCCAGAATCGAATACTGCAATAGCATCCTTTATGCCATAAAGTGTATGGCACATTATTCAAACTCGTAACCCTCTCTACCCAAACACATCTGCACCCATATGTCCATGTTTAGATAAACATTCCCTGTTTCTGGTGATTTTAATGTGGAATTAACTGTTTTGTGTATTCAAAGTGTGTTTCTTTATTATCTTTGATTAACTTTTACCTGTACATGTCAAGTCTTTGAGAACCATGTACTTTAACAAAGTCTGACAGATGTAACGAATTTAGGACTTTGAGGATCAACATATATTAAAAGCTTAAGTCTCCATGACATGCCCTTGTGAATAATAATAATAATAATAATAATTAGAAGAAGAATGTAATACGTATTTTGCTTTTTCATAGTTATTATCATTATTGTTATTAATATTGTAACTACACTGAAAAAACGGGTAGTAAGGTCGAGGTAAGAAAATGCACTCAGAAGTAAATTTAACAACGTATATTTCAAGTAGCTTCTACTTAAAGTTAAGAAGTGTTTGTTACTGAAGGCACTTAAGTAAACTTTACTGTCACACTCAGTTTTTGTAAGTAGATTTTACTCAAGATTACATTTGCATCATATTACAAATCTCCAGTAAAAAATATTTGACTTTTCATGTTGTTTTGACCTGCTATTCTTATCTTTTATTTAATAAATATGTAGGTAATATTTAAATATAATTATTAAGTATCATCAAATGCAATTCTTATTCAATAAAACTGTTTTACACTAAGGCTACAACCAAACATGAAACAGTAGACACTTTTAAAAAACACATTTATTTGTGTTCTGATACAAGCCATGATGAATCTACAGTTTCAATGATTTTAACAAATACTGCACAAAGATCCGTTAAATTAAACAAAGCAGGCACAGAAACACATTGATATACTGTCACTCAGAGGTCGAAGGAGAATCCGGCCCTTTACTTAAAGTGGACCGATCATGCTATATTTGAAACATATATTGTAGGGCCATACCTATAAAACATGTCTGTGAAGTTTTTTTATCAAAATACCAAACAGATCACCCATTGTAGCCTCATAGTGCTCAAACCCCTCTTTTGCAGCCCTGTTAGAGAGACGCAGTTGCCTGACGTGTTTTTAAACACATGTGCTCTACAGTACAGGTTAGCTCTGAGTGTTAGCGAGGCTTGCTGATGTAAACAAAGACGTCCAAAACACGTCTTTCTGTGGGTCCGCCGACGATTTGACGTCAGTTCGGATGGAAATCTGTATCCGCTCGTTGTACACCCGTTTTTAAAAGATTTGGTTACGGAGGAAAAGCGAGAGGGTTTTATTTTCTGATGCTGCGTGAGTTCCCCGACGCACCGGGGGCACATGTTTATGTATAAAAGACATCACAAAGTGCATTTTGCATGATAGGTCCCCTTTAAGTAAAAATATTCTTACCACACTGAAAGAATACTCTATTACAAGTGAAAGTAATGACAATGTTACTTAAGTAAAAGTATAATTAGCTAAATGATGTTTGAGTATGACATGTCAAAAGTACCCTGTAGTAAAAAATCCAATATTAACAAACAAAAACGTAATAGCTCAAGGGTTTCTAACAATATATTTTTTGGTAAATTAAAAAACAGAACCTTATACTTTATAAACTCTATATAAGATAGTGAAGCACAGAGTCAAATATTTCCTTTTGATTTGTAGTGGAGTATAAAGTGCAACGAAAATAAAATTCTCTAGTAAATTCCACCACTGCTTATGCAAACATTTGGACTGGATCTTGAGGAAATTAAGTTCAAGAAAGATTTTTGCAAATGACAGAAGCCTATTTCAACTTTGATTTGTTACTTAAGTTCATTGCATGGATGATGTCCGTGAGCAGAAGGCAGGCGTTCACCAAACATTTACACTCATCAAACACCGCCGATCCTTCGATGGAGATGGACACGTTGGGAGGTGTGGCGTCTTCTTTTGCTGAACTTCATGGGGGACATGGATCTTCACGACACTCAGCATAGTCCTTTTTCGACGATATCTTTGCCTTCATTCTGTCAAAATATGTCAATTAGTGTTAACATATAGTACAATACTTTTCTGTGAATTTACTAAGTCTGATTGGGTTGAGTTAGCTATTTAATTTAGTATTTAAGTAGCCATTGATTTGACATGTTCTTTTTAAGCAGAGGGGATGGGGTAAGCTTCAAAAGGTTCAAAGGGCTTTATTATCATATACACAGTAGCTACAGTGTGGATATGGGAATTTATATTAACTCTTATTTGTTACGGTCAAAGTATGACTACAAGTAAGGAAGCTCAGTTTATTAAATGTTTACTTTGTTCCAAACAGGAAGTAAACCTGATTAAATAATTGGGTTCTACAAGCTCAAACTATCAATTCTCCTTCCTATTCTACTTTATCTAAAAGTACTTTATCTAAATGTTAACTTAAAAACTGGAGACTGAAGAGGTTTATCACATAATGGTAAGATGTACTTACCTTTAGAGAATAAAGATATTCATGTACAAACAGAACAGCAGACACATTTTGAACACAAATCAAGCAGAACATTTACCTGGTTTTCTTGAATCAACTCCGCTGCAGACAGAAGAAGCTCCATCAGGCGGGAGGGTGGCGACTTCCGTCTAACTTCAACGCAGTGGCGGCGCCAGAGATTTTCTCTAGGGGGTGCTGTGGGGTAGCTTGACGTTTCATAGAGGGTGCTCAAACATTAAGGGTTTCCCATTAATGCACCAGCGCTACAGTTGCGTTTTCTACTGCAACACTCCACACACACACACACACACACACACACACACACACACACACACACACACACACACACACACACACACACACACACACACACACACACACACACACACACACACACACACACACACACACACACACACACACACGTTCTCACTCCCATCCCGTCACATATTGACGGACGGTCAGGGCCCCTCCCCGTCGCTATATTACGTACAGGGTACCCCTTGACCGTCAGGCTTCTACGGGCAGGGCGTCCCATAGACCTTCATAGACCACGTGATCAACAACAATGGCCGACCTTCGTGTTATTCTCGGTGGAAAAGGCCTATTTTAAGGTTCATTTGGCCATTAAAATGCGTTTTGATGTCATTTTATGCGATTAATACGAGTTGTTATTTCTGATTATTTGTGCAGTAGATGTACATGATGTTTAGTTTGCTAGTTGTGATGAAGATTACTTCATGAATGTGTACACATTCATGGTTGCTAAGGTGGTTGCTATGGACGCTGCAACAGTCATTCGAAGTCAATCAAATACTTATTTCACTTCAGGGTGATAGCAGGAGACCCCATCTAGTCACTCAGAGATAATCTGGACAATCTCATTTCATTTCATTTCAAACCTTTATTTATACAGATAAATCCCATTGAGATCATTGATCTCTTTTCCAAGGGAGACCTGCTCAAGTAGTTCCACATGAAACATAAAAACATAAATAGAACAACAAAAGGACATCATACAGCATCATTTACATAATTATCCACATAAACAGGTACCTATAGCTTCCGATTGAGTAGCATCCAACCGAGCTTTAAAAACATTTAGTGGCACCAGATTGTTCAGTTTCCATTTAATTTGCAGACTATTCCAAGACAGAGGAGCTGCGCATCTAAACGCTGTCTTCCCTAAGACAGTCCTAGCAGTTGGCACATTTAATAAAACCACAGCATTCGATCTCAGGCAGTAGCCACTTACAATTTTCCATGAGATCAGGATGTACAGTTTCAAAATAAAAGACCTTTGGAGTCTCATGTATGAGCTATCTTCCTTCTGTTTGTTCAAACAGTTCAAATGTTCGAATTACATTAAACCAGAATTGTCCCCCTTTTTTCTTTAACAGTGAAGACAATTGGAGATGTTAATGATATATTGACCGCAAAACACAAAATGTCCCCGGTTTTCATTTTGAAAATCTGGTCACCTTATTTGATACCCACATTAAGCTGACAAGCTAACAGGGATGTACAGAGTTAATAAAGTATACTTACATGATCAATAATCCACTAGTATTCATATTAGACGAGGGTCCATGCTCTCTTCAACTGGAACAGTCTGCTTTTTTTCAAATGTCTCTACTGTGCGCAAACTCCTCTGACGTCACCAGGGGCATCGCCCACCTTTACTCATATTGCCCTGTACATTTTACTAGCTTTTCACAGGTTGTAGGTCAACGCATTACTTTAGTTAACATTTACTTAGTGCTATGATTTAAATGTACTTATCAAAATGAAGATACAAAATTACTTGCAAATTCAAGAAACACATTAAATAAAAGGAGAGATTTTGAGTAAAAGAAAATTATTAGTAATTTCTTGTAAAATTTAAACACATAATCATAGTATTATTTACTAGAGCAAAATCGTTTTTATCAGTGCATTATTCAAAAAGGAAAGGGCCTCCCATGGAGACATAAGCTTTTTAATCAATTGTATTATTATTATTATTATTAATATACACAAGGGGGATTACAATATTTAAAACAAACACCAATTTTTTTCTCAAGGAAATGGTCTTAGATGGGAATTTGTGAGTTGCGTGAATTTGTTGATATTTGAAATCCGCCATGTTTCTCCTTCCTCTTCCTCCTCCTCCTCCTCCTCCTCTTCCTCTTCCTCCTCCTCTTCCTCTTCCTCTTGCAGGACTGAGGACTCGGGGCTGCTCACCCATAAGGAGAGCCTCCCCGTCCGTTCTCTGTTGCTAGGTGACATCAGGAGGCCGGGGTCAGAGGCCGCGTACAGGGTGGGACCGCTCCGTTGTCATGGAGACAGTAAGTCTAGTCCAGTTGCCTGGCTACAACATGATGAAAGAAAAACTTCCTATCATAGGAATTGACCTTTGTTTACTTTATTCTGTCAGACTGCATGGTGTTGACAGACAAACAAATGTTTTTTTTGTGTGTCAATCCTCATACAACACACCGGTCTTCAATTATCATCCCAGTTGCCTCTCATTTCAATTATAGATGAGAGTAACGCTAACGTCACTTCCTGACAAAATGACGGCCCCGCCCACTTCCGGGGGAAAATAATGCATTAGAGCGAAGCGGAAAATAATTGTTTCTTCATGTCTTAAAGCTGCTGAGTCATATATTGTACCTGAAACAACAAATATATCCCGAGTTACGGTTTATTTACTTCCACTACAGAAAGAAAGGACAGTAAAAGAAACGATCTGATTCAGAAATCAAAGTTTCAGTCTGACCTGCTGCCTGCACTAGTCCTCCAGCTTTCTGATCGGACATCATTTCCCTATTGATTTAAATGTAACCATAAATCAACACAGATCATGGTTCTCCAATGACATTGTTTGACAGTTTGCCTTTCTGACCATCATAATTGGGCTTCTTGTAGATAAAAAAAGCGCTGTTTTCGTAATTGTTTGATGTGATTGTTGAAAACAGAATCTGTATTCACTGCCAATCACATTTTACATTTATATAATCTATTCAATATTTAATATTCCATCTGTCATATATTTATGTATTTATATCTATAATACCTTGGGATCAATAAAGTACTATCTTATCTTATTCAAATGACTGAGTGTTTTCCACCCAAAAGGGGCGTGGCCTTGCATAGAGGGGAAAGTACCCGGATGTGTTGCTCTCATCTATTGCAGTCCCAGAAATGTCACAAAAAAGTTACACAAGTTTGACATTTTGTTGATAACATTTTTGGCAATGAGTCAGATAATAGCTTTGTCATGTTGCCATGTAACATGTCTCATGTTACTCAGTGTAAGAAACAGACAGAAAATAATCCGACTATCATCATCTTCAAATGTTGACACCGGAATTAATGTTTACCTTTTTTCAGTGTGACATGTTAGTTATTAGATTAGATTAGACATACTTCATTGATACTAAGGACATTAGGAAATTGTGTTAATAAGGTATTGGATATAAATTCAAATATTATACAAAAAAACTATTTGAATAAACATTAATGGTAAATATGTATATTACAATAATCAATAGAATAATACACAATCTAAAATATACAGAATAAGTATACATATATACATAAACTAAATGTTATACAAGTTTTTTTAATTAATTAAAATGTAAATGCAATGAGGATTATTTGATATCTTATTTGTTTTTCCATTTATTTAGACAAGATAAAATAAGATAGTACTTTATTGATCCCAATTTGGGACATTTTTTAATCTTAGTAATCTTGACCAGGAGTTTTCATTTCCTTTTCTCAGAGAACTTCTGGAACGCTGCGTTTTTCGACAAGGAGACGTCGTACCTCCACTTCCCGACCTTCCACGGAGAGCTGAGCGCGGATATCTCCTTCCTGTTTAAAACCACCGCCTCCTCCGGTGTGTTCCTGGAGAACCTGGGCATCAAAGACTTCATCCGGATCGAACTGAGCTGTGAGTAAGCTGGAGAATCAAGAATTAATCAAAATCAAACACATTTAAAGGGCGAGTGTGAGTCTTTAAAGCCCTTTTTGTATGCTGGGATTTATAGTATGGCAGCAAGACTTAAATAGACTTAATGGTCCCATGTCATGGCCATTTCTACTGATCATATTTCCATTGTTGAGGTCTACTAAAATAGATTTATATTGTGCAATTTTCCAAACTCATATTGGTTTCTCATACAGCATCTCTGTAAAGTATGAGTATTCAGACTCTGTCCTAAACGGCTTGTTGGAGCTCCTGCCCCCCCCTCTCCCTGTGAGCCCAGTGTGCTCTGATTGGTCACGCGACGTGAAAGGCTCATTGCGTACTCATTTAGACAGTCGTGGTAGACACCTTGTTTGTTTTAAAACATCATAAATACACAAACAACAATGAATACTTACAGGTTGTGTACCCGAATCCTCTCTATTCTATATGTCAAAGTGTATTTAATGATTGATTTATATTTTGAATTATCTAATAATCTAAAACTCAAAAGTAACTAAAAGCTGTCCAATAAATGCAAATAAAAGGGCCACTTTAAAATATATACTTAATCGTTTTTAAATGGTATTTATAGGTCTGAGAGCGGTGCTTTTAGAAGAAGCAGTCTAATTATATTTTGAGGTATATTTTTTACACTTCTTGTATACTTACGGCCCGTCCACATGGCGGCGTGCGTTGAAGCTTCAGCGCTTCTGCCCATTCACTTTGAATGGGGTGACGTCACGCTTTGCCGAGCTGCATTGTGGGAGCGTTGCTTCGCTTTGCTCGCTTCAAAAGTTGAGCAATGTTCAACTTTTGAAGCTTCGGTGGAGGCGTCAGCCAATCAAATCATATACCAGTACAAGCTCTAGCCAATCAAACCGCATGCTTGTGTGTCCGGGGCGGGAGATTCATGTGATTGGTTGTTGGTCGAGCTTCAGGCAAGCTTCTACACACGCCGCCGTGTGGACGCTGCGTGTAGTTGTTTCCCTGTTCTGGGATTCAACTGTTTTGCAATAGATTGAAAGATGTTCCCTCAGTTATCCCATAACTTCTGATATTGAACAAAGCTTTTTAGTTTTAGTTTTTATTGACAGGCTTGTTCTTATTGAGTTTGTGTTTTCTTCTGGCTCTGCTTGCATGTTTCCATCATTTTGTTCTGCTCTGGTTTCTTTCTTTGTTGTCTTTCGATCAATTTCCTTCCCACAAAGTTTGCAGTTGAATGCATTGCATACGCTGCCGTGGATGCTTGCTCACATGGGACAACATAGCATTCTCACAACACAGCAAATACAATGCAACCAAGGAGAAATCCGTCAAATAGGAACTCATAATCATTGCAGGGCTTCTTTTTTTTTGCACCCTTGTTTTAAATTTGAAGATTGTTTATCAACTCTCAGGGGGCATTTTAGCCGTGACCCTCCATTAATTCCTGTTGATTGATTCTTGCCTCATGCACACATTTAAAGGCCCTGTAGAAAGTCATTCAGATTACGGCAGCAATAACCAATAGGGTGTTATTTAGTTTATAGGTGCAGTGGAAGTGTGGCTGTGAGATGTGTGTTTATAGCCTACCATATATTATGTAATTTAAAACATAGCAGTATTACCCAACAAGGTGTCCTTGTGTTTATATGGGTGTGACTGTACTGCGGGTTGTACCAGGTTCACATGTATTGGCAGCTGTACAGTTTGTCATTCAGAACGGCTTGTATCCGCCTTAGTTATTAGAGTCATATGAGGTTGCCTTTTGAAGCTCTGTCACCTCACTTCACTTGTTTTGTTTGTTTGGTGGTTCTCTTTGTGTTGCGTTTTGGAGGAAGTTGCGTTAGAAGTGGGATTTAAAGGGACAGACACAGATCATTTCAGGGACACTGCTGCAGCAAACGTCTCTCTCCTCTGGGAAATCACTGTCAGTGCTGACCTCTTAAGATAGCTCCGTAACCTCTAGAGGAATTTCTAAATGAAGTTACTGTATAGTCAGGGGTGCACATAACTGGTACGCATGCGCGGCAAACATCTGAAATGCATAACGTCACTTGTGTCACTAAGCGCCTTTGCGTACAGACGGACTTGTGAAGCTTTTTTACTGAAGGCGCTTAGATCACTGGACGACAGTCGGTTGCCGTGTGCACAGACGGGGCTGCTGTTAACGTTGGTGTGTACAACAGAATTGTGCCAAAACTACGCCAAACAGCTGCAGAGGGAGACTCCCCTGAGCACATTCTGTGCCCCGCGCACACACTGGAGAACTGCACAAACTCACAGTTCACTAGCACCCTGGACATCCAAACTATGTATCCTGGTACTTATCTGAGTAACTCACTAAGAAAGTTATAGTGCTGTTTCGCCTTTTGTCCTTGGGAAAGTTTAAGTCGTTTAAGAATAATTAATACCTTTACACTGGGAAAAAACATCTTCTTTACCAAACACCAACAAGTTATTTATAGCGTTTCGATTTGTTTGGCAAAAAAAACAAAAAAAACGTTAGTAGGTACATTTTGTAGGAAAACGATGTGCTCTTTACTCCGTTACATTCATTTTCCAGCATTACCTACCAGCTACTGCAGAGTTATGTTATTAATACAAAATACAAATTAAAATACAGTATTGTAGTAATAGCTACCCAGCAGTTCATAAAGTAAATCAAATAACCCTAACCTAGCTGAATGAAGTCATGATCACAATATTACATCAATGATTATAATATAATATAACTCTGAAATTGGGCCTTACCACTAACGACTACTTTACTTTTGGTACTTATGGTTTATTTTTATGATTATTTATACTTGTCAACTTCTATTTGAACTTCTATTTGAATATGTTTTTAAGTGCAGGATTTTATTTGAAGCAGTTTTACTTAAGTAAAACATCTGAGTACTTATTCCATTTAGTTAGACGTGCAGTGACTGACACATCAATAACCCACCATGTCTGCCCCCTCTCTCCCTCTCCATCAGCCTCCACTCGGGTGGTTTTCTCCTTCGACGTCGGTAACGGGCCTCTGGAGGTTCATGTGGAGTCGATGGTGCCGCTGAACGACAACCGGTGGCATCGAGTCCGAGCCGAGAGGAACGTCAAAGAGGCGTCGCTGCGGCTGGACGGACTTCCTGTCGCCACACAGGAAGCTCCGGCTGACGGACACCTCCACCTGCAGCTCAACAGCCAGCTGTTCATAGGTGAGGAGGAGACACATGGGCCAAACATATATTCATATAACGTTTATACAAAATAAGAATCTGCTTTAAGGGCCGAGTATGTGTTCAGAACACACCTAGGTTCAAGGATCAAGGCTTTTATTGTCATGTGTGCATAGCTACAGTGTAGATATGACAATGGCATTTTAGGTCACAGGCTCCTCCAACAGGGCAACACAATATAACAGATAATAGTGCAAGTAAATACAATAGAATATAATAGAAATTGTGCAGAATAGTCTATATATACAAGTAATTGGAATATTGATAAGTTGCAAACAGATGAATGTTATGGATGTTCTTTCAAAAGTTCAGGAGTTTAACAGTCTTATGGCCTGTGGGATGAAACTGCAAGGATTTGCGCTCTGCTTTTTCACATGTTAAAAAGTGTCTAGTCGTGACGGATGTTTTGTCTTTCCTTCTGCAATTGTCCACTGTTTGGAATATCTGTTCATTATTCCTGTGTTTGTGATTGATGCTCCAGCAATTCAGGCATAGGTGAAAAATGTTCTCCTTATTCTCCATGGTCTGATTATTGTGTTGCTTCCAGTCCTCTAAGAGACTGTTAGTGGTTATAAAACCAAATCCTATAAAAGCACAAATGTGTGTGTGAGCTTCTGTGTGAATTGTGGCCTCATTAGTCTCACTGCTGGAGGCTTTAAGGCCCGTTCTAAAGTCTTCTAGGACTGTGACTCCTTCTGTCTCCGCAGTCACTAACTTTACTTGCCTTGTTTCTCATATCACTCTCCAGAGAATCAGCAGTTGAGCACTTTCTGTCTCTGCAGCTTCAGCAGTTTGATAAAATAACTTTTTTAGTTGAATATGTTTAGGCTCGCCTTCTTTCTCAAGTTCACATCCGGCAAGAACAAAACAGTGCTTTGTCTTGTTATGCTTTCGTAGAAAACAGATCATTTACATGGGAGCCACATTTCACTTCACCAGTGAGTATATTCCCTAGAAAGAGAATAACAGTCCAGCTTATTCATATCACAGGGACGTTTTTGAAAACCTTTCAGACACACTTGACAATTAACCCCACCCTGTTGTGTTTACCTTTTTGTAAACAAAGTACATTTTGCATGCTCTGTTTCCCGATAAAAAGCATTTTGTGTATCGTAATACACCCAAAGCTTTAAACATGTGTTGAATGCATTACATTACATTGCATTTAGTTGACGCTTTTATCCAAAGCGACTTACAATAAGTGCGTTCGACCAACAAAATACAACTTGAAGAAAACAGAATCATATAAGTACATCAGGTTTCATAGAGCAAAATCATTTCAAGTGCTACTCAACTGGCTTTAGGTAAGCCAGTCCTTTATTAGTATATAAGTGCTCTGTTAATAGTTCTATCGCTCGAAGTGGAGTCGAAAGAGATGAGTTTTCAGTCTGCGCCGGAAAGTGTGTAAGCTATCTGCTGTCCTGATGTCAATTCCTTTCTCATAAAGCATTTTGTGTATCGTAATACACCCAAAGCTTTAAACATGTGTTGAATGCATTTCCTTTCTCATAAAGCATTTGCGAAGCTTAAAGCTGTTGACAAATGGAGCTGCCTTAAACCAGGACTGTGTTTACGTAACCTGTGTATATAAGATACTAAAAGACTCGGGACACAGTTTAAAAAACATGCACAATAGCGCTACTAGTGGTCAAAAACTTCACTGGGTACCTTTTGTGATGGAAACTTCTGTGCAGCAATGCAGAGCCAAGGCTCAGGAAAGGATGGAAGTTGGAGCGGCTTTAGTCAAACACTGATATTTATTGAGAGTAGAATACGGCCGGAGAGATCACAAAGTATATCACACTTTCATGTGAGCCACCAAGCAACACTCTGAAGACATAAAGTAGAAACATAGATTTATATATCCTTAAAGGAGGGACCTAAAAAGCCCGCCTTTCCTACCTTAATAATTACCAGACCCGTTTGTATTACAAACTCACATGTGCCCAAACTTCTCACCCACAGGAAGGCAGAGGACCTCTTGACCTGTGTCCTCCTCACATTACAGGCAGGAGCATATGCGACTTAACGAAAAGCATATGTTTGTAATTTAACAGTTTCTCAGAAAAGCTGAGAACCTCAAGACACAAAGAGATCTCCTTAAAATATTCTCTGACACCTTTAACAACAGGAGACAATAGAAATCTAACAAATCAACACTAAATGATCAATTGCAATGAAGTGTAAGGCTGGAAAGGCGTAGCTGCAATATAAACTATCATTATACACACAGACAGCCTTAAGAAAAATAAAATAACTTTTGCTAATTAATAAAAGACATGAGCTGGGGTTTAAATTCAACACTGATTATTCATACAATGTATTTTCTGTAAAAGTATCCTTGAGATAGCTATCTAGAAAATTGATTTTATGCATGGAAATGTAAAAATAAGCACCCGGCTCAGCTCGTATGCAATCACAAGCCACAACATTGCTGTATTCATGAGGAAAAATGTAGATTTCTACTCCTTATGCGCATTTAAGATAAACTATGATACTATTACATACAGTGCAATTAGAAGACCTCCACAGATTTATGTCAGTCTACTTAGTTTTACAATTTAAAGTCATTGTTGTTTTCCATGAATTCATAAGCCATGATTAATTAAACCGTGTATTTATGAGCCTTAATTATTCCTTGCAGACATTTATAAAGTGGTGAATAACATTGTTTAGATTTATAACCTGTGTTATTGCCTTGCATGGATTTACAAACGGTTGGATTACTGTTCCTCTTCTTGCTTTATTGCCTCATATTTGTCGGTGTATAATATCCACACGCAGCAGTTTCTGGTGACATATTTCTGCATTCGATGCAAGCACCAATTCAGATATCTTGTCGTATTGCCTGGTTTGAATAGATAACCTGTTTATCGGTGCTGTGTTGGCTGGTTTGTGAAGATAAGTGTTTTCTGGGAAGCAGAAAACACTTATCTTCATTTAAAGATATGGGAAGTGAGAATGTGCTGAAAGACGTTTGTTGGTATATTGTGTCTCAGACTTTGAGAATATTCATCAGAGAAACACTATTTCTGTACTGACTGATGAGGGTTTAGACCAAACTGTTAAGCTGTAAATCGGACAGACATTGACATCCCAATAGCCTTGCAACTAGTATATAGAAAAACATTAGCTTGAATGGCGATTAAAAAATAATCCATTGGCCTCCTTTGTTTACTTCTTTAACATAGTGACATCACTATGTTACACTCACACTAACTAGCGCTCCAACACATTGTACATGATGTCCACTAAGGGGCTGGACATCTCTAAGCTGTTGACCAATCACAACAGAGCCGGCCAGCTAACCAATCAGAGCAGACTAGGCTCTGGTTTCAGACAGAGGGTGAAAAGAAGTGCTGCAGCACAGGCAGTATGAGAACAATAAGGAGCTTTTTGAACATTAAAGCATGGAGACATGTCACAGTAGAGGTACCGAATACAATTCTGGAAATTAGCACAATATGGGCCCTTTAATAATTTGATTTCAACTTTAAAAGTATGTGACAAATGGCTCTGAATATGTGGCAGAAGGTCTTATCAAATGTATGTTTTATTGCATGATATCCTGCTTGTATTGCTTCTCACAGCAGACGCTGCACTGTTGGACATGTGGTTGAATCTTTGCTCCAGAGTTTCTTCTCCAAACTCTGCAGTTCCAGTGAATTCTCTCTTTTACACGTTGCTTTCTGTGCCTGCAGGTCTTTGTGTTGTAAGCCACACTTTGCCTTTGATGCTTGGTCTAATCTCCACTTCACTAATTGTTTTTGCAGATTCCCTCTCATGTGATCTCATACTGTATTTACAGAGTGTGCTCTCACAGCACGGCCTCCTGTAGAGATGCTGCAATCGTCTTGTTAGAGCTGAGGTTGAATATTGTAAATTCTCACTGATCTTAAAGGTCTCATTTGGTCGGAGGTGAAGTTCCTCTGCATTTGGACTCTTTGATCTTTCGTTTAATCTTGGCTCAGCAAATCCCTCATATAAGCTTTTTAGAAATGATCTCACCTTCCAAGAAGTGATTCACTTGATGTTTTACGATTACTGTTTAACTGCTGGATATGTGCAGAATACTAAGCAGACATATACACCTGAACCTTTTGTAGAGCTGTTCAAAGTTTCCGCATTTTGAGGTTTATACTTTTAATGGTAGCCCATATGTGTGTCAATACACTTTCGAATAGCCACCCCAGAAACGAACTTTTTACAAAACCGGCCTTGTGTGGGAGAGAAACTCCCTCTGGTGGGACCTTTGGGATTTTAGCCTCTGCAGACCATTTACAGGCACACAAATCTAAGACGCTACAGGAAAGGGGAAATCCCTTTGGGCAGGAGTGAGTGTTTGTCGTGCTTCAGGCTGAATCTTCTATAAGCTGAACTTCTGGAGAGAGTGGGTGGGATCAGACACGATGTTTGGTCTAATGATGGACTGCTCATAGATGTTTTGGAGGGTGGATGGATTTTATTCAGTTTGTTTCTCAGTGCTTTGATTCCTATATGCTATGACACTGGATGCTGATGATATTAGTCACATAGTCATTTTAGACATTTGATATCTCCACACCTACTTTATAATATGAGTGCTTCAGGCTGCCCTTGTGAACCCTGAATCTTCTATCAGCTGAACGTGGGTGGGATCATGATGTTTGGTGAAATGATGGACAGCTCCGAGATGTTTTGGAGGATGGATGGATGTTTATTCAGTGTGCTTCTGTGTTTCTCAGGAGGCACAGCGTCCAGGCAGAAGGGCTTCCGGGGTTGTATCCGCTCCCTGCAGCTGAACGGCGTCCCCCTGGACCTGGAGGAGCGGGCGGAGATCACCCCCGGGGTCCAGCCCGGCTGCCCGGGTCACTGCAGCAGCTACGGCTCGCTCTGCCAGAACCAGGGCCGCTGTGTGGAGAGAGCCAGCGGCTTCCACTGCGACTGCGGCCTGTCGGCGCACACTGGAGCCTTCTGCCGTACTGGTACACACACTGTTGGTGTTAAAGCAAGATACACCATCATACAAACCAATGTCTATAATGTGGTAAAGGGTATCTGAGGCTGGAGTATGTTGTCAATTTGGAGGTGACATTACAGTTTTTCAAATCCATCGAGAAGAAAAATTAAAATCCGCTTTAATTTTAATTAAATTAAAGGGGACCTTTAATTTAATTAAAATTAAATTAAAGGTCCCCTATTAGACTGTTTTTCATCAATATATTATAGGTCTCAGATATATACAAACATGTCTCTAAAGTGTTTGGCTCCAAACACCAAACAGATCATTGCAGCATTACCCATAATCCCCTCTGTTTCAGCCCTGTTTCAAAAGTGCTGATTCTCTGTCTGTTACTTTAGCTGAAAATAAGGAGCCACTCCCCACACCCCTCTGAGAGATATTTGGTTACAAAGAACTCAATAGCCGCTTTCACACCAAGTACTTAGTTCCCAGTACTTAGTCCCGCCGAACTCTTTAGTCCCGGAACTGTCCTAGTACATCGCGTTCACACCGGAATAAGTCCCTGAGGGAGGATTAGGCAAATGAAGCCGCTGACGTCACTTCTTCTTCTTCTGCTCTGGGTTTACTGGCAGCCCGCAAACAACTTCGCGGCAAATACTGCCACCCGAAGTCCCGGGTAAATCGCTGACACCTCCTCATCACTCCACCGCTCCCACGTTTTATTTTGTGTTACCATAAGTCAGTCTCTCTCCGTTGGTGCGTTGGGCTAATGCTAATGCTAATAATGCTAATGCTAGCAAATAAAATGGCGGCTTCACAAAACTTTTTGGGAGTTTTACGGGGCGTAGTTTGCAATTCGCCCAGCAAATCAGAAATTGGAACCTTTTCCTCCCCAGGAAAGTACCCGCTCTCTAGCAGGGACTAAAAAGGGGTGAAAAGGTTCTCATGAACTAAGTTCTAGTTCCAGATCTTTTTGGTGTGAACGCAAAATCCTGAGAACTATCGGAACTATTCCTGGGAAAAGTACTCCGGTGTGAAAGCCTAATGGTGTTCTAGGAGGAGATTCAGGTAATAAGGTGGGGGGGGTGGGGGGGGGGGGGTTACCTTGGTTGGTGATTGGCTAATGGTTACACAAGCCAAAACATCGTTGTGACATCATAAAGTGGCCAAAATCTGATCAGCTCATTTTCAGACAGGTTTTTATAGAAATGGATCAGGACAAAAAGAGAGAATCTTTGTTCCTGAAACTTTCAGAATCTCTGTCCACAGAGGGGACACATGTTGATGTAGAAGAGACATGAAGGAGTGCATTTTGCATGATAGGTGACCTTTAAATCAAGTTCAGTGTTGTCAGTTCTTCATTCATATTTTACATATAGTTACTTTAAAATATACCTCTCTCCTGACCTCTCCGTGTTAACAGAATAATATATATCTATGATGTTTTTGGCAGTTTAAAACAAACAAACAATGTTTATACATCTTTCTAAATCAGCCTTTACTAATCCTCTACATTTCTGATAAACTGATCTCTCCATCTTCCTCAGAGTTGTCGGCCAGCTTCCAGTCGGGCACGTCGCTGCGCTACACCTTCAAGGAGCCGTACGAGTTGAGCAGGAACAGCAGCGCCCTGCCGTCCTCCATCTACTCGGACCTGACGCTGAGAGGAGAGAACGTCTCGCTGAGCTTCAGGACCAATCAGAGCCCGGCTCTGCTGCTCTACGTCAGCTCCTACTACACCCAGTACCTGGCCCTGCTCATCAACAAGCACGGTGAGGGGCCGCTCTCATTTTCAAGGAGCTTGTTTTGCACAAGATTAAAGTAGAACGCCTTATCTGCCTTGACTTCTCTCTCCTGCAGCTTCAATTAATTTAGATGAGCTTAGATTGCATTAGGTGTCACTCTTTGTAAGCCTCTTAAACACCTCTCCTACTATTGACTTCCGCCTTTTCCACTGCCCTTCTTTGTCTCCTCTCCTCCGGATCATTCACTTCAGGTTGAATGTCCTCTATTATTTATGTGTCATAAGCTTATCTTTACTGATTGCCTGCTTTTCAGCTCTTACATCTTTTTCAAAGTCTTATTTCCCTTTCCAGATGAGACGGATTTTGCTTTCGGCCACTTCATCTTCCCCCCTTAACTTTTTTTCAATGAGTCCTCTCTGTTCCCATCTCCTCTCAGCCTTTAATCTAACCTCTCTTACTCTCCTCCTCTGGTTCTTCCTCTCTCCTCTTCCTCCTCTGCAGTTGTACCAGATCAGGCTCTGTCAGATCTTTCCTCTCTCTGGTTTCACCCCGTCAGACTTGACTGCCTTTTAATCCGTGCAGCTGATGCTTTGTCTCAAACTGAAACTCCTCTCATACTGAGGGATGAAAGTGTTATATTCCAACCCAGTCTCACGGCATTTCGTGTTCACCAACACGATTTTTAATCTATTGATTCGTGTTCCCCAACACGATTTGCCCCTTTTGTTCGTGTTGCACAGCACGATTTATTTTCGTGTTGCACAGCACGATTTTAAAAGCAATGTATTTCTACTGCCTGCAGCACGTCTTTTTCTCCGGTCGAGTCGAGGAAGACCTGAAGCTGTGGTTCATAAAAACATGTTCTTACTCAATATCAAGCCACAATTATTGCTTTTATTTTAAATCGTATAATTTCGGACTTTTGTTGCCGTCTGTGAGGAAAATAAATGGGGCTCAGAGCATCAGGATGCTGAAATCTGTATTTTTTTCCTTCTAATTTGTTATTCTTTTCAAAATAACACACTGTTATTTACTCACCAGTAATATACAATTATCCTTGATTTTATTTATTGGTTTAATTCCATAATCTCTGGCTTTTTTGGCATCCGTCAGGGACTGAATTTCAAAATAAAAATAACCGGACATAGGCATTACCCAAGATCCTCAGCTATGGTTTTAAGCTCGCTTATTGGATGTTTTAGCCGCAATGCGTGCTGGGATTTGGTGTTTATATGATATGAAATCCGGAAAACATTTGTGTACCTTGTGTGCATCTAGTGGTTAAAGCACGCTATTGAATTATTGTGTTTGATTAAAAAAATATTAAGAGTACATACTTTCATAGGGGGAAAGTATAAATATAGAAATATAGAATATAAAAAATCAAGAAGATACTATAAAGTGATCTCTACAATAAAACAGTTTAGTGCAGCATGTACAAAGATATTAATAGGAGGAGGTGCAAAACAGAAAAACGAATTAACCCTTATTTAAACATTAAATAACAGATTAAGGTCTTCTTTTAAATAAGAAAAAAACGTTGGGGGTATCTATCTACAGATAAATATTAAGCCTGACAAAGTACTTAACGTCTAATATATTGCTTTCCTATGTTGAAGCACTTATTTTAACTGATATTATACATATGAATTATACTCGTATGTATGTAGATAGAATAAGAAATGTGCAGAATATGACAGTTTAATGGCGGAGGTACACACATATTGATAGATGTCTTGTAATGCACTGTTGAGGAACCTGTGACCCAAGTGTTTCATTCATTGCATAACTACACCGTAGTTGTGTATATGATATGTCAATAAACCTTTGAAAATCTTGAAAGGGATGTGCAAAATAGCCATAATATACAGTATTTAATTAACTATTAGTAGAGAATAACGAGTAATGAATATACTTTATTACTCGTTTCCATTCATGTCAATTGCAGATACATGTTTAGTCTTCTCAAGCACCAACTATCAAATATCTCTCCTGATTGTTGGCACTTGACAATCACCTTACCTGAATTTTACTCAGGTGTAACTAAAGTCTGATTTAAGGGTTGTTTATATTTCACATAATTAATCAGAATCTGCAAAGTAACTCAAATAAATGCAGTAGAGTAAAAATACCAGGTTAACCTCTGAATTGTAGTGGAGTAGAATTACAAAGTAACAATGAGCTGTCATGTGGGTATAGCGATTTTCACCCATTTATTAATTATAATAAATAATATATAATAGTTTTACATTTGATAACGCCAATGTGTTTAATACTGACAACTTCTAATTGTGGGAAAAACGAAAACGTTCAGTAGAGACGTCCCATAGAACATTTTGCGAAACACAATAGCCAGCATCCAGCATGTGTAGTTCTGGGGGGGGCGTTCGATTCCAGTTTTGGATAGTCTGTCGTGGTTTCGTTCCATTTCACACAGCTGTTTGACGCTCTGCGTAACCTTACGGGGGACTGTAGTCCTAAACGATAGCTGGGGATTATGGGTAGTGTAGTGTCTTCGGCCATCCTAAACTCAAAAGCTTATAGTCCTACGTCTGTTTCCGGATATTTTATTTTGAAATGCAGTTCCTGACGGAGGCCAAAAAAGCCCGAGATTATGGAATTAAACCAATAAATAAAAGCAAGGATAATTGTGTGTTATTGGTGAGTAAATAACAGTGTGTTATTTTGAAAAGAATAACAAATTAGAAGGAAAAAAATATTTAAAAAATACAGATTTCAGTATTCTGAGGCTCTGAGCCATTTATTTTCCTCACAGACGGCAACAAAAGTCCGAAATTATACGATTTAAAATAAAAGCAATAATTGTGGCTTGATATTGAGTAAGAACATGTTTTTATGAACCACACATCTTCAGGTCTTCCTCGACCCGACCGGAGAAAAAGACGTGCTGCAGGCAATAGAAATACATTGCTTTTAAAATCGTGCTGTGCAACACGAAAAAAAATCGTGCTGTGCAACACGAAAGAAAGGGGCAAATCATGTTGGGGAACACGAATCAATAGATTAAAAATCGTGTTGGTGAACACGAAATGCCGTGAGACTGGGTTGTATATTCTGCTAATGGGTGGCAGAAAACTTGCTGATTTGTTTTACAAACTTTGTTGTTAAATAATTACGTTGTGAGTTTGGCTTTTAGGATTAGTAGGAGCCACTTAATTTGAAATTCCTTTTAACGAGAGCCCGACAGAGCTGGCACTTTGCTGCATGATTGGCTGTAAATGGATTTGTTCTGGTGTTAATGAGAAGAAGCTGATGGACAGCGTGGCGTTAAGGCTTCCTGCTGACCGTGGAGTCGTCAGGTAAATGCACTTCAAATGAAAAGACAAATTAAATCCCGGAAAGCTTTTATTTTTAATTTAATTTCCCACTCATGGAAATTCCTTGTCAATCACCAGTTTGCCAGAATACAGTGTTTGTTATCAGCAGAGATGGGGTCGTTACTAAAAAAAAGTAATATATTACATATTACATATTACTTTAAAAAAAAGTAATATATTACACTACTTCGTTACTCTCTACATAAAGTAACTCGTTACTTTACTCGTTACTTTACTCGTTACTTTACTCGCAGGGCCGGCCCGCCCCTCCCTACAGGCAGATCACGCAGACTGCGGCGCACCTACAGTGTAAGCGTGCCACAGTTTTGCCTCTGCGAGACTCCACTTGCCCCCCCAATTGCTATTGCATTAAGGAAGACATAACACAACTCTTTCTTTTTATATGTTCTAAAATAGGCTACCAGCCACACAACAAGCTAACAGTCTGTGAAACGTCAAGACACTAATTAATTAAACCAGTTCAAGACGCATTATTCTTATCATTCTTTTTGAGCGCAGTAACGGTAAGGTATCTAATTACTTATTTATTTAGTATTCCATAACTTAGTAACAGAGATGGTCAAACTAAAGTGGTAGAGACATAGCAGAATTCCTACAATGAAGCGGGACATTGAACTGTTCACCCGTGAGAGGGCGATCAACAAAAGAGAGCGAGCGGCCCCGTTGAGGGAGTTTACAGATGAAAAGACTCAGCCATGTTTATGCAGCACTGCACGTGGAGATGTGGTCTCGCAAATCGCGCAGATTACATAGGCCTACATGTATATAAACCTGCGGCGGAAACCCCTCTTGTCTGTCAGTGAGTGTGATTATTTTATAAAAGTAACGAAGTAACGCGTGTCGGGGCAATGTTAGTAACTGTAGTGTGATTGCTGAATCACAAAAGTAACGCGTTACACTACTCCGTTACCGGCAAAAGTAATATTATTACACCCAACTCTGGTTATCAGAAAGAGCAAACTGGAGAAGTCAATGCACCAAACAAGGATTCCTTCTGGGTAAATACACCGATGTTATAAAAACAAAAGAGAGCCATAATCATGAAATCTTCTTTATGGGATTAACACGTCATTATATATACTTTAAGGAGGACGTCTAACATCTTATCCTTCTTATTAATCTTTAAAGCCCAAAGATATCACAAGGCTTTCCTTAAATCCGCATTTAATCTTCCCAATATTAGCAAAAGTAATTATAAATGAATTAGTTATTGATAGGGAATTAGCATCTAATCCTCTTAATATGGGAAGCGTTATTGATTCAGAATCTCCTTGCTCAGATTCATTATGGAAGTGAAAAAACATCCTTAAAAAAGATCAGTAAAGATTAGAGATGAAGCCCTGCCTGTTTCATAAAGACAAAACATATTGAAGTGTGTGTGTGTGTGTGTGTGTGTGTGTGTGTGTGTGTGTGTGTGTGTGTGTGTGTGTGTGTGTGTGTGTGTGTGTGTGTGTGTGTGTGTGTGTGTGTGTGTGTGTGTGTGTGTGTGTGTGTGTGTGTGTGTGTGTAGATAAGTTGGAGGTACGGTACAAGCTGGACAGCAGCAGAGACGCTGATGTGTTGAAGAGCAAAGTGAAGAGTCTGGCAAACGGACAACTACACACCGTCACCATCAGGAGACTGACTGACTCTGTGTCTCTGCAGGTAACATACACACACACACACACACACACACACACACACACACACACACACACACACACACACACACACACACACACACACACACACACACACACACACACACACACACACACACACACACACACACACACACACACATACCTGTACTTACCATGTAGCTGTTGTGTTGATACAGAGAGACAGCTGCAACTATTTAAGCTTGCTTTCAACTAACAGAGCAGAACTTATTTTGTTGGGTGTGAAGGTTTGTCCTGTTAGACTCCCTTTTCAAAATAAAAGCTGTGGCAGGGAATTCCTTTTACAAACACATGGAGAGTAAGAGCTCTTAGTGATAATAATGCCCTTGTGATGACCGCAGAGCTACGACAGAGCAGCAGGGACAAACTACACTAAATCAGCTTCAGATGAAATATGATGCTTCTTAATCATATCTGGATCTACTTAACTTCCTATCTTGTTAACAGCAGCCTGACTTGATATATGAGGTTAACTTCAGCAGCCTGGACGTCTATATAATTACCCCGAGATGAAATAAAAGGTGTATCGTTTGCAACGAGGACATCAGGAGAACCTACCAGTTTCAGAGTGTGGTGTCCTGAGGGCCAACAGCATACAGTCTCCATATTGTTCTCACGAGTGGACGTTATCATATCCTCTCCCGTCCCGTTGAAAAATGACTCACTGAAGTCTAAAGCACTCGGGGCTACCAATGCACCGTGTCCTCTGTTTTCATACCGCTATCACAGAGGCTCACTGCATGCTCCTGTTAGTCGCACTCTGTTCGGACAACAAAAGGGGAAACGCTCCATATGTGGGAAACTGAGATAAACTAAAATAAATCATATCAATTTAAAGCTAAGAAAAGTTGAGACCTGAGGCTTATCTTTTCAATATCAGAAGAAAAGTACTGCAACCACTCCCCATACCCATTATTGCCATTTTCTAGATGATTCAACACAATTCTAATATTAGCTATCTGTGATATATACGGTTGCTTACACATTCCTTTGTCTTTATTAAGATTATCTCAGACATGAGTGGTTTCAAATAATGAATTATTATAATATTTGTTATGAGAATCCATTCTTCCTGGTGTCCACACACAAGACGGCCCATCTCATGCAATTAACAATCAAGTATTGAAGTGAAAAAATGAAGTGATCATCTTTTACATCATCATGAAGGTGTTTTCATTATTTTAACCCTGTGTGTAAAAGTGGATTTGAATTATTTTCATTTTCAGATCGACCAGAACCCCAGAGAAGACTTCAACCTGACATCAGACGGAGAATTCAACGGCATGAAGTCGCTGGTGCTGGGCAGAGTGCACGGTAAGAGAGAGACGCAGTAAAGCAGAGGCCTTTTTAGTTAGAGAGCAGCTTTAATGTCATCCAACATGTGCTTTCTTATGACAATCTGCAGGAATACATTAAGTATAAGTACTGAGTAGAAAATATAAACACGGTTTTCAGACCTCCTAGGTGTCACTGGCACAGCGCTGTCCTGGTTGACATCCTACCTCCACAACAGGAAACAGTTTGTCTCCATCAGTGGCTCAATCTCACCCCCGGCCCCAGTCCACCATGGTGTACCCCAGGGCTCTGTGCTTGGCCCCCTCCTGTTCACCATTTACATGCTTCCCCTCGGCCAGATCATCCGACATCATGGACTCAATTTCCACTGCTACGCTGATGATACCCAACTGTATCTCAGCACCACTCCATCCTCCCAGCTCACCCCTCAGTCTCTCATCAACTGCCTGCATGACATCAAAACATGGATGTCTTCCAACTATCTTAAGCTGAACAGCAATAAAACAGAGCTCATGGTTGTGGCACCCAAAGCCCTGCTCCAGAAGGTTGGTGACTTCGTCCTCGAGGTCGACGGCTGCTCCATCTCCCCATCTCCTGAAGCCCGCAACCTGGGTGTCATCCTCGACTCCACCCTTTCCTTCCATTCCCACGTCAAATCTGTGACCAAATCGGCCTTTTACCACCTGAGGAACATTGCCAGACTCCGACCGTCACTCTCGGAGTCGGTTGCCGAAACCCTAGTACATGCGTTTTGTCACCACCCACTTGGACTACTGCAATGGTGTCCTGTTCAGGGTTCCCAACAAAACCCTGGACAGGCTCCAGTATGTCCAAAACTGTGCTGCTAGGGTACTCACGCACACAAAGCCGTGGCAGCACATCACTCCCACCCTCATCCACCTACACTGGTTGCCGGTCAAGTCCCGCATATTTTACAAAGTCCTCCTCCTTACCTACAAGTCCCTCCATGCTCTTGTCCCCCAGTACCTATCGGACATCCTTCACCCACATGCCCCACCTGCGGTCCTCAGACTCTGGCCTGCTTACCACCCCCCGCACCAAACTGCAAACCTTCGGGGACAGAGCCTTGAGTGTGGCAGCCCCCACCCTCTGGAACGCTCTCCCTGCGGATATTTGCAACATCCCCACTGTTTAGAGTCGGCGAGGTCCTGATAATTTATTCCGGTAAATTACTTTGACCTACTAATTGACCTGACCGAAGTTATTGAGTCTATGTAAGTTTACTGCTTGGCTCAGATCCACCAACGTCAGCAAGATCTCACCTCTATTAACTCCCCGAAGAACCAGGTTCAATTAACTGCTGTTTCAATTCAGACAACTCTTTTTTAATCTGTTTAAGGGATCCCGAAGGATTTTGATATCAGTAAATGGAGTGTGAGTGGCAGGGTGCAGTCTTACCTTTTAAGCAGGAGAGGAGAGCACAGGTGTCTTTTAAGTTATCCCAGTCAAAAAGGTGGGATCAGTTTATTTGAAGAAAAATAGGTCCAAACTAATACAGGGTTTTTACCTTCTCTCTTTACAACATTATTATCATACTAAAAAAAAAATGGTGCTGTGATCATGTTCAAATATGAAACTTTAATTCACAGTCTTACATTTATTACCAAAATGTTTAATTTCAACTGCCCAATTCAGTTGTGACATTTTAAAAATCTCCCGATAGAATTTAGAGGTATTTCCTCATAAAAAGACCGGTGACAATAAAAATCTGAATTCAAACCTTCATTTTCACCCAATCAATTCACATCAGGTTCATACCTTTTTTCCGACACAGACGGCGGGTACTAACATTCAAAAACACACACCTATCTCCCGCAGGTATTTCGGAGGAAGATCCTCACGGTGGCGGTTACTAATTACAAACACACTCCTATCCGACACAGATGGCGGGTACTAACATCCACAAACACATACCTATCTCCCGCAGGTATTTCGGAGGAAGATCCTCACGGTGGCGGTTACTAATCACAAACACATCTCACAAACACATCTCCCATCAAATCATTCCACTCAGCATTCCAACCAAGAAATTCACTCAGCATTCAAAGAAATTCACTCAGCATTTCAACCAACAAATTCAAGAGATATTTACCAAGTTTGAGAGAACCTTACCGAGAGCTATTAACCCAGCTCTGAAGGACAAAGCCTACCGGGAGAGAGTATACCAGGGGAAACCCCCCTCTCTCTCGCGCTCTCTCAAAAAACCAGTCTCTTTATGCTAAAAAAACCGGATCGAAAACCCAAAAAACAAACACCTCCTCTATTCCCAACCAACATCTTCTATTGGCTATGGTCTAAGACACACCTTCCCATGTTTGTGTAGAAAACAGGACATGAACAGACATATTCTATGGCTATGACATAACCCACTTTTTTTGAGGCCTCAATGTATTTCTCCTTCAGTCAGGAGCCCCCCTCCCTGAGAACTGCTGTCAGAGGAGAGGGAAAAAACGGCCTACTCTCTTATCAGAGACACCCATAACTCTTATAGGCCTTACACTCAACTTAACAAACCACTTGGTTTTGTTTATACTGTAACTATAGAAAAACTTAAAATATGAAGCATTTTCATTGTGGGTTATACAAGAATATAATTGATTATATTTGATTATAACTAACTTTCGTTTTAAGTATTAAACATACTATGAAAACTCTCAACACCCTCTTTTCAAAACGCAAAGTTATCAAATAGCAACAGATAAAATTGTAAGCATACATACATATTCAAAAACCATCAAGAAGCATTCTCATTATGGGTTTATACAAGAATATGATTGATCATATATGATTTATAATTAACTCTCGTTTTAAGTATTCACTTCATATGGAGATCTCAACACCACACTTGACGCCTTCAAAAGGGCCCTCAAGTCCCATCTGTTTGCCAAGGCTTTCGGTCCCTAATCGATCTGTTGTTTTGTCTTTCTGACTTTTGTTATGTTTGTTTTTGCCCTATTACTTGTAAAGCGACCTTGGGTCCCTTGAAAGGCGCTATATAAATCCAAGCTATTATTATTATTATTATTAGTGCTGACTGCCGTGTGCAGTGCTGGGTCAAGAGGAAATACAGAAAACTAAAACAGCAGATGGTAAAGATTGAATTAGTCACATAATGGAGAGGACATATGGCTAATGGCCAACGGCAGTCCTTGGGCAGGTACACAATAAAACAAAATGTTTGTGGATCGAACACAAGCACGCATTGTTTTTCTTTTAATAACATCCATGGGAGTAATTATTTTTTCCATATGTGAGTGCTTGTAAAGAATATCTTATGTTATGTTGTTTTGAATGGTGGTGCAGAAACGTTTTACAGCATGCTCTGCAACGTAAGCCAACTATTTCCTTAGCAATACTTTAAGAAGGTGGAAGACTCTTCCCGTATCAACAACCTACTGGCGACATGAACTCTGACCCAACATGAATAAAATGACCTCAAGACCAGAACTACTCAATATCTGTTTCCTCGTGTGTGTCTGGTTCAACAAAATGTCTTCACAACTAAACTTGACCAAATTAATTCAGACTATTGTTACAGTTTTTAAGGCTCTGTGATCAATCCTCTTTATTGTCTTAGTGCTCAAACACCATCTTAGTGTCTCTGAGATGTTTCAGTTACATTAGTTACTGCCTCAGCTCTATTCTCAGATCAGTTTCACATTTTCTCCATCTGATGATAACATAAAATGAAGAACAAAACAACCTTTAATTTAAACACCTTTATTCATTATGTAAACCTCCATTTTAGATCAAACATCCCGTCAGTAAAGTCTGTTCAATGATTACAAGATCAGATTCACTTCATTCACACAATCAATGTGTTCAACCAGAATCTCAGCTAATAAAACAAAATAAGAAATGATTCACTTAAAGTTTAATAAAACATCATAACACTACATTTGTACAGTGATCAGGCAACAACAACAACAACAACAACAACAGTTGGTCTGCAAAAATAATACATGTTATAATAAAGGTATTTTTTCCTCACATAATCAATTTGTTGACCAAAATCTGAGCTATTTCAAATAAAATACCTTATTTACTTATTGATTATGATCTTAATGGTGATTAATATCATTTTATATGGACATTTTTTGATAAAATACATTTTATAAACATCAAAGTACCTCATTTGTTAGTCGGTTTTGGAAACAACAATAACATTTAGTCTGTGAAAATACACGTCATTATAAATGTATATTTTGTGAGAATAAAATATCTACAATGAAAGAAGCTCTGGTGCTTTCTCTCCTAAGACTCAAGCATTAAAAGAGAAATAACTAAATATAAATACATCAATATCGATATTCAACACATATTTAGAGCAAAGTTTACATTTCCATGCAGAGAAATATGAGTAGAGGTCAACAGAAACCCTCCTGAGCAGTGACAGCCTCCATGGCTAAACAGACACAGGAAGGAGCGCTGCCTAAAGAAACTCCAACATCTACAGAACAACTCATGAGAAGATGTTAAAGCACATCCCATAATGTTTGATTGACAGCTGATCTCTGTGCAGTGAAGACATGAACAATCAGCTCTCAGCAACAATGATGGACACAATGAGTTTAAGAAGTAGAAGAGTTCCTCAAATGACTTCAGGCTATTTCAGTTTACAAAACTCAGCTGTGGTTCCATAACCATAACCAAGCCCAACTCCAGCATGTAGCGGCTGAGTGAATGTGGTCTGGACTCTGTGGAGGAGAGTCATGGTTTCAGAGATGCTGTAGAAGGACAGAATACCTGCTCTGTGATCCAGGTACACTCCTACTCTGGAGGACTGAGGACCTGAGAGAGGAGTTTTGGTTCTGTTGTGACGAAATGAATTACTGTTTTGGCTGCAAGCTAATGCCCAAGATTTGTCATTGAGCCCAAAGAAAACATTCCTTCCCTGCTCTGATGATATTCTTGTCTGCGACTGCTACAGAAACTGCTTCCCCTCTCCGCTCCACCTCCCAGTAACAACGTCCAGTCAGACTCTCTCTACTCAGGAC